CCACACCCTCTTCCCTGTGTCTGCCACAGACACAGGAATGGTGATGCAATATTGCATGGCAGTTACAGCATGCTGTGGAGAATATAGGCTTTGCAAAATCAGACTGAGGAGAGAAACACAGCCCCCAAAGTGTCACACTTGGTAGGATTTGCTGTGAATGTTTACAGAGGGATTTGGGTTTGTTTTGGTTTTCCTTTTTTTAATTCCAATAGAGTGTGATTGTATACAGAGCCCATCTATGATACCTTGTAGAACAATTAAGTGCTTCCTGTTTAGATACTTCTGAAAGGCAGTATGTGTTAGAGCATAAAAAGTAACTTGCCTCTTTTTTTTTCTGGTGCTGTTACTAATTCACTTTGTAGCTGATCCTCCTGTATGCCTCTTACTTTTTATTGCAGCATTGTGTGTCTAGAACTTCTTAAAAGTTAACTATCTCCCTGTGTTTATAGACATTATTTGACTGAATTATTGTTGGAAGATGATCCTGATGCAGCTCAGTTCAGTGTGTGCTTTTCACAGTGAGAAAGGAAGCTAGGTATTACTAAAAAATTAAAAACTGTTTTCCCTGTTATGTATTGTTTGCATAGAGATAACCTGTATTTTCATAGGAAATTTTTCTTTATTTTCTTAGGTTCTGCCATCTTTATTTTGAGATCTGTACTTCTGCTTTATCTCCATGAGCTGTCCCGTGCCCAGACCATGGCAGCTCCAGACAGGCACAGTCCATTTGGTGCCTGAGAAGGTTGTGTGGGACAGCTCCTGCTTTGAGTGTTTGGTTTTTGGTGTTGTAGGTCCATGTGTGGGATGCTGGAAATGCAGGTGTCCTGTGTCATTGGCTGACTGGCACTGGGGACACAGAGCAGGGACACAGGGGAGGCAGGAAAGAGAAGGCTTTTGTCACAGGTACCACACAAGAGCACACAGGATACAGCCTTGGGCAGTGTTTCTTCATCCCCATCTTCACACTTCTGTGGGATGTGGGATTTGGCAGTGTCACAGATAAGTTATTGTCTTGTTTTTAAAAATGAAAATGAAAAATATGGTAAAGTCCAGTTTGGAAGTGGTCCATGTCTTTTTAATGCAAGTGCTTAGTTTTGATTTGTATTTAAATAATGGAGCTTTTCTCTGTATTTTTTTTAAGCATGTATAGTTTCACTAGCTACTTTGAGGCTTAACTTCCTTTTATTATAATAGATTACCAGATATCAATAATGTTCGATATTGTTGCTTATACCAGTTTATTTAATGTATTGCTGAATTTCCTTTTTCTCACAGTGGCATTTGGTAAATTGGTTTTAGTGTAGCTTGAATTTTCAGGAATTTCCTTGATAGTTCCCCTAGCTTTTGCTTTCTGTCCTGCTGCCTTTCCTTCCAAGTTCAAAAGACAAGAGACATAAATGTTCTATTTTGCTTTATAATTTGTTGATGGTCTGAATTTCCAAAGAAACCTGCTTTCTTATTTAGTGCTGCATATAACTCTAAGACCTAGGAAGGCTTGGATGTTCTCTGATTATACAGTACAGAGGGAATGTTACAAACTCAGGTTTTGGCCAGTGAACAGACATTTTTAGTTTTTGAGGTTTTATCAGATAGTTGTATTTTCTCAAAACTGTGTTCCTCAGGTTGTCTTTGTTTGCACGGCTGGAGTAGCACAGCAGTATAATCTCCAGTATTCCATGTTAAATTGGATGTTGAAGCTCTGTTTGGCTACAAGTTATTCACTTTTTATAATTGGTGGACTTCTTTGTTGCATTTAAAAATTAACACTTCAGTCACAGTTGTTGTTTGCTAATGTGATTTTTATGTGGTTGTTGTATATCTTCTATAGGACACTGTTCCTTCTTAATTTTACATTACAAAGTTTTTGTAGAAAATCTTTTATAGCTAGAAAAAAACCACCTCCTGGGCTGATGTTTAATATTCTGGCATATCTATAGAGGAGAAACAGTGTTAGTGGTGAAGCAGAAATCAAACAGCACTAGCCAAACTCAGGGGTTGGTGTTGGATTAGAAACAGGTCACTGCCATTTGGTGGGTATAATAATACTGTTTGTGTTCACATGGTGCTGTTTGTATCTATCTGCATCTGCCACGTGATATGTGTTGAATTTGGAGAGGATCTGGTTTGTCCCCCAGCCGTGACTCAGCTGGTGACCGTAGTGTGTAAGGGGAACACGTGTGATAAACATCAGAAACACTGAGCGTTAAGGGCTGGTGGCTCACTGCAGGGGTAGCCATGAAGACAATAAGTGATTCCATGACTGTATGAATCCACTGGGATCTCCTGTCCTGGTGATTGGAAAGCGGGGTTGGTAGGGTGAGGTGCAAGGAAAAAAGATACCTACAATTTCAGGCAGACTGGGTCACTGCGAGGTAGTGGGAAATGGTGAAATTGTGCATGGAAAGGAGATGAGCTGGACAGATGATAATTTGGAAAAGGAAACCATCATGAAACTTTTTGTAAATTTTGTAATTTTATTTTGGTCTTATTTTATAGTATTGTGTTACATTGGATTGATCTAGCTGTTGCTTATTATGCAGAAAAAGAGAAAGCCCTGAGATGTCTGAAATAAATAGCATAGTTAAGGGCACTAAAGAAAAACAGTGTCTGGAAGGGTTGAAAAAATTCATAATTCATTATTGTGTTATATAGTTGATTAATAATTTATGTCATGAACTGTCTTGTAGAAGTGTTGAAGTAGGCCAGGAGGTGCAGAGGCTGTGGCTGAGCAGGGCTGCACCATGTCAGTGTCCAGGGGGTCAGGGCTGCAGGACAGGCCTGTGTTTGATGCTGACTCTGCTGGGCCCTTGGGATCTGACATCTCCCGAGAGTTGTAAGAGATAAACTGTTGATGACTTCAACGTGGAAAAACCTTGGGCCCGAAAATGTCTTTTAAATTAAACAGAAATTAAAGATACTAATTTATTTTAAAATATTTGCAAGCTTTTCTCTGATACAATCTGTGCATAATACACTGGATGTGTTTTGACTGCTGAAGTGTGAGTTAGGTGGTGGTGAGGACAATATATATTATTTTCAACAGAGCTTGCTAAAACTTCTTTCCCTTCTGTTTTGCTGTGTGTTGACAATTATGAGTGCAAGAGGGGACAGAGGAAAGGTAGATTCCTTGGACAATTACTTTCAGAAATAGTAAGTATGTGTAATAGAAGAGCTGGCTTTTCCATAGTGCTGTAGATGATGTCCTCAGTAGTTTGAGTTCTCATAATTGAGCAGCAGTGGCACAAAACTATGGTATCCAAAGGTTTTTTTCACATAGAGTTAGCCTAACACTACTTAAATCTTGAGTTCTTATTAACACCTGTTTCATGGATTTAGAACAGTTAATTAGCTTTTGTGTTTTTACATTCTTGCTTGTATTGCATCTTGAAAAAAGTAACGTGTGTTTTTCACAACTTTGAACACTGTCCTATTCTCATTTCCAGTGCTCTGTAAACAGGGTATTGTGTTTAAAAAGGTCTCATTTTCAAATATGATTGTACAGTTGAAAAACTTGAAAGATTTTCTGTTTGGTGGTGGCTGTAATGCATTAGGAGTGCATTTTGAATGGAAGTCTCTGAATTCAGTTAGTTCTGAAATGTAATGGAAAAATATTTTATCCATCACATATAGACATTTGTGATAAATCATTTTATCTGTCCTTGTATCATGCTTAGGTGTGATGAGATGATTTTTCCCCCTTCCATCCGTTAAGATGACTATACAGAACTTTTGTGTGGTTTTTTTTTTTTGTTCCAAAACTAATATTCAGTTACCCTCTCAAAAGCAAATTAAAGTGTTAAACACAAGTCTAGTCTTGGTTGGGTGAAGATGTGAGAGAAGATACGCTATCTGATATGAGAGAAGTGGATGGTGTTAAGCTGGCTTTGTCAAAGGTGCCCTGTATTCCAGTGAAGCGCAGGAGATGTGATTTCTAGAATGTGTCTGGAGGTAACACCTTGGAAAGGTGAGAAGCTGAAAGGGTATCAGTGTAGTCCTGTATAGTGTTGTTAATTCCCTGGCATGTCAAGTACGGCATCTTTGTGAACTTCACTTGAAGCTGCTCTCCCTGGGCCTGAGCCTCAGCAGAGCTTTTCAAACAGTGGATTGGTTGTGTCTTTTCATTGTCCCCGTGTTTCTGTTACCTGCCCGGGGTTCCAAAGGCTCTCTCCCCTCAGGCATTGCACACCCTGCTGCAGTGGAGCAAAGCAAGTGCAGCATTAGCTGTAACCTGTCCAAGAACCCCTGGGGTTAGCTCTGTGCTGCAGGACAGAGCCCAGGGCTTGTTCCAGACACTGCAGAACATGCTCTTAATTTTTCAAAAGCTGTTTCTGTGCAGGTTTTCTTCAGCTCTTCTCTTCTGCTCAGAAACTTTCTTGACTCTTACTTGGTGGGGTGATGGATATTGCATGTTTGGGGATGAGGCTGAAGGAAGCCTTGTATTGAATTGGTAGTTTTTGTTTATAGTAGTTGGGCATTATTGGCGTGTATTCAAGTCCTGATACAAGTCTTCCTTGAACAGCACTTGGATTTCAAATAGTAAGAAAGCATTTTTAAAGATAATTTTCTTTACCCTGATACTGTAGCCTTACTTTTTATGTGACCAAAACAAATTATTGCAGTGTGTTGTTCTGTTGCCTCCACTGAAAGTTGTACTTCCATGATCTTATGATCATTGCATCAGTATTCCATAAACTCTAAGATCTTCTGAGCCCAGTGTGTGCATCATGCAAGCGTGTTGACTTGGTTTTCAACTCCTTTATCCTTAAACTGTTCTAAGTTTTTTAAGAATCCGTGTGAATATTTAAATATACCACATTTTCCTTGAGATTATTAGGCTTTTGCTTATTGAATAATCTTTATGTAAATGGAGAAAATTCCTGTTGAATAGAACTTTATCGGTCCACAGTGGGAAATACTCAAGGAGTATCCTTGAAACAGCAGGAAGTGAAGTTCATGTGTTAAAAGAGTTCAGAGCGGATCTGTAGCTTTTAAAGGATTCTTTAGGGAGGATGATGAGCTCCGTCGGCGTGGAGCAGGGGGCTGTTGGTCAGGTCCCGGCCGTGCAGAGGGAGCTCCGTGTGCGGAACGCGCGCGGCCGTGGGGACAAGCGGGGCCGGGGCAGAGGCGGTGCCGCCCGGGAGGAGCCGGGTCCCTGTGGGCTGGGCCGGGTCCCCGTGGGCTGGGCCGGGTCCCCGTGGGCTGGGCCGGGTCCCCGTGGGCTGGGCCGGGTCCCCGTGGGCTGGGCCGGGTCCCCGTGGGCTGGGCCGGGGCTGGGCCGGGGCGGGTCCAGGTCCCAGTTGGCGGGGCCGGGGCGGGGCCGGGCCGGGCCCTCCCCCGGCAGGCACAGCCCGGGCGGGGCGGGCGCGGCCCGGCGGTGCCGGGGGAAGCTCGGGGAACCATTTTGGCGCCGGGGCCGGAGCGGCCGCAGCGGGGCCGGGCCGTAGATGGGTCCGGCGGGGCCCGGGGCGGTGACTGCCGTGCGCGGCGCGGGGCCCGCCGGGGCCCGGGAGCGTTCGGCGGGGTCCCGGCCCGGCCCGCGGCCCCAGCGCGGCTGTGCTGCCCCCACACGCCATGAGCTCCGCCGCGACACATGAGGGGCAGAGCCGCCTCCGGCGGGCCGTGTTCCTGGAAGGGCGTCTGGTCTGCGTGTCTGCCGGGGAGTAAAGCCTGCAAGGGGAAAGGTACCGACGTTACATTGCGTTATCGCAGCATTAAAAACTGGGGTTTAGGAACTGTGAAGTCTCGTCCCTCGGTAGCCTGTGCATGTCACCGTCCGCACAACACTGGCGAGAATACTTTTTTATCAACAGGTCGGTGCGTTCTGATGTCATGGAGGACAGTTCTTCTTGCTTTACAATTAGGAAATCTTAAAATACATTTTCCCCGTTTTAGTCGTGGTTAGATTTTTTCGAATATGTGCAGTCTTTTGGATAATTTGAGTTAAAGGAACTAATAGTCTTGAAAATGACACCTAGTATGCCTTAGTTTATCACTGTTGCTTAGAGACTTATTCCCAGTGTGTGCAAATACAGATAACGTAATAGCAAATATTGCGTGTAGGGAGTAAGGGGGATTGTAACTAAAAATATCTTTAAATTTTGTTTCCAGTTCTGTAGTTGTTTTTCCTTGGTTTGTAAACAAATCACTTGGTCTGTATGGTTTTCATAGTTTGGTGGCTTAAATGTATTACACTGTTAGAAGTTTTACTTGTGATTGACTTGTAATTCTTAACATAGCCATAAAAAATTAACTTCTCTGACTTTTCTGTTATTATATATTATTCATCTTTGTGTTAACAAGAGTGATGAAAATGCAGGCTTTGGGCAGGTTTAGGCTTGGTAAATTACAGTTAATAGCTTTATCCAGCTTCTTCCTTGCATGCTAATCATCTCAGTGGTCTGGTTCACATGTTCCTGCTCATTTTCATTCCCTGCTTGTGTGAGGTGCTCGGTTGTGGAAGGTGTGTGTGAAGGCTGGTCACACAGTGATAACACACAGTCCTGTTCTCCAGTGCTTCCAGAGCTTAGAAGGCTCAAGTGGGAAGTGCATCTGCGCGTAAGGTCTTTCCCAGAGTTTCTACGTTGCTTAATTTAACTGTTGCATGGGCTCTGAGAGGTGTAATTAAAGACACCCGAGCTCACCCAGCTCGTCAGACTGCCCAGGGAACTGGTCTGACGCAGTGGTTTTCACCAGTGTTATCTGCGGGTTGCTGGGGATCCCTGGATCAGGACATACAGGGTCAGGCAAGATCCAGCAGACACAGCCTTCTGAAATGTGTGCGTTACAATATTGGAAGGGAAGCGCTTCCAGAGTTTTACATGTGACTATGGCTGTGATTCCCAAGCGAACAGCGGGATCTGAGTTGGTTCCCCCGTGTGCAGTCACTCCAGTCACTCCAGTCACTCCTGCGTGTTTGTTCCAGAGCAGTGCAGGGTCACGAGCTCCCACCCGCGGGTGCTGGGGAAGCAGCAGCACTGTCAGCTGCCAGAGACCTCGCTGTTCAAATCCCCTCACTGGGGCAGCATCACTTCCCCAGAACACATTCTTGATTTGTCACAGACATCCTAAACTTTTTTCATCTCAGCTGGAATGCCTCACAGTAGGAAAACGTGACCAAAAGACACAAATATTCTTGTCGTATCTCTATAGTATCAGTTAAGGCCCAGCACTGAAAACCACTGCATGGATTTTTTTTTCCTGAAGATGGTAATTGGGTATTTCTAGACCACCAAACCTGAGATGAAGCAATAGAATTTGAAGAGTTGAGAAGATGCTGTTACTGGGCTTGTCAGACTCATAAAATCAGTGACTGAGTATCCAATCTTAGACACTCATGTTTTTCTAGCTCTGGACTAAGGAGAAGTGCTTCTGTAGAGGAATTTGGAATTGCCTGCCTATGATTACTTTTGAATGTCAAGGGATAAGTCCTTTTGCAAGTTGGAATCTCTTAGTTCCCCTCCTTTGTGCCATGAACAGTGCATGTCTTGCAAAAGCATGCAGAGTATGCTGCTCTGAGTTATCTGGTCCAAGTATGAGTAAGTTTGTGGGTGAAATGATGCTAAATATGGGAAGCTTGCCTATTGCCTAATATTCCCATGTCAAATAGCAAGGAGATTAAAGATGAGGTTTATTTTGAGAGCTTTACACGTACGTGACAGATACAGAGCTAATGTACTCGCAGAGAGGCACTTAGGGTGGCTGAGAATTGTACTGTGGAACAGAGGCCAACTTTGAGTAGCGTTTTGCCTAACTGTCCTTAACCTACAAAGGTAATGTTTATTTTTTCAGAACTGCGTTTATTTTCTCGGGTAGCACTAGTAATTCCTCGTGCACAAGGAGGAGGAGAGTTAGGGGTTGCATCCACAACATGTTAACAAATATGGTACTTGTACCACATCTGTAGGAATGCTCAAGCAGGCTGTTTGGTCAGACAGCTGTCAGACCTTTGTCACCTCTGTGTGGGGACAGCGGAAAGAAAAACTTCAGTGGGAGCTCCACTGAATGTAAGACTTTGTTAACAGGGCCTTTTCAAGGGACTGCAAGTGTTTGAGTTACTTACATGGTAAAATTAACTCTCAGATTTAATCTTTTTTATTTCTTGTCTTACTTGGTAAATTCAAGAAAATAATTGCTTTGTTTTTCTTTTCTGGTATCCTCACAAGTGGTTTAGTTCAGGAATCTGAAGCAGTGGATGTGCTTTAGAAGATGTGGGCCCAGTAACAGAGTCTTGAAAACGAAGAGTCACTGTCCTATCCTGGGAAAAAGGCAGGGTAGTAACTGTGTGAGCTGTGCTTTTCATTGTTAGTGTTTTTCAACTTTTTTAAAAGCAGTTGTACAGTAAATATGATTACTGAGAAGGCCATGTCCAGAAAATAATTTTTTTTTCATTAAAGATAGCCAGTTTGTCATACACAACAGCTTAAAATCCAGCCTTAGAATTGGTCCATAGTGCTCCGAGTTGTTACACACAAGTGATCTGGGTGAAGCAGTTCATAAATGCCGTATTAAAAGAAGCAAACCAACAACAAACTTATTTTTAGCATATCTTTACTTATCTCCCTTGTAGCTTTCAATAGATAAATTCCACTGCAGAGCACTTAATAGAACTTCTTCACTTGTTAGATTCCCATGTCATGCAAGTGTCTGCATCAAGTGTGCACAACTGATCTTTTGCAGGTAACATACTCATGTAATACAGTTTGCGTTATGTGGGGGTTTTTTTGCTTTTATTTCTGTCTTTTCTCTTGAAACTTCTTTGTAAGTGAAGAAATTCTGTGTGCAGAGGAAAATACAAGGTGGTTAGATATTAATTCTTTTCTCCCTTCTGTTGCAGACATGAGCCGTCAGACTGCCACAGCACTCCCCACGGGTACCTCCAAGTGCACGCCATCGCAGCGGGTGCCCGCGCTGACGGGCACCACAGCTTCCAACAATGACTTGGCCAGTCTCTTTGAGTGTCCCGTGTGCTTTGACTATGTGCTGCCACCCATCCTGCAGTGTCAGAGTGGCCACCTGGTTTGTAGCAACTGTCGCCCCAAACTTACGTGCTGTCCAACCTGCCGAGGCCCGCTGGGCTCCATCCGTAACCTGGCTATGGAGAAAGTTGCCAACTCTGTACTATTCCCATGTAAATACGCCTCTTCCGGATGCGAGATAACTTTGCCACACACGGAAAAAGCAGACCACGAGGAGCTGTGTGAGTTTAGGCCTTATTCCTGTCCGTGTCCCGGTGCTTCATGTAAATGGCAAGGCTCCCTGGATGCCGTGATGCCGCACCTGATGCATCAACACAAGTCAATTACAACACTGCAGGGAGAAGATATAGTGTTCCTGGCTACGGACATTAATCTTCCTGGTGCTGTTGACTGGGTTATGATGCAGTCTTGTTTTGGCTTCCATTTCATGTTAGTGTTGGAGAAACAGGAGAAATATGATGGTCACCAGCAGTTCTTTGCAATTGTACAGCTGATAGGAACACGCAAGCAAGCAGAAAACTTTGCTTATCGACTCGAGCTAAACGGGCATAGGCGGCGATTGACTTGGGAAGCAACTCCTCGGTCCATCCATGAGGGAATTGCAACAGCCATTATGAATAGTGACTGCCTAGTCTTTGACACCAGCATTGCACAGCTCTTTGCAGAAAACGGCAATTTAGGCATCAACGTAACTATATCCATGTGCTGAAACGGCAATCAAACCTCTTCAGGCCAGTGTTTAAACCTTGCATTTAATTTAGCAGAAACTAGGGTAACCATCTTTGACTGTCAGACAAATTATTTGGTAGATGGAGGGTAGGCATAAATGAAGGTAAATAAAAGGAAAGGCTGTTAAATTACAGGAAGCAGTTGCATGTAGTAACTAATATATTTAAAATAAGTCAACAGTAAACCACTGAAAATATATATACACCCAAAATGGGCATCTTTTGTATTAAGAATTGATTCTACAGGAAATGTTGTAAAATAATTCTAAAAACTTGTTTGTAGATTGATTGTACTGTTGAAAAGGATACTGTTTCGTGTTTTTGTTTGTGTTTTTTTCCTCCCCCTTTGACTGACAAGCCATGTTGAGCGGTCTGGTCTCTGGCCACTGCTTCCCCTCCTCCTCCCACCCCCTCTTTGTAAGTCACTACATAGTATTGCTGCTGTTTGTGTATATTTTTTGTGTATTTGCTAATTTTTATTAACTTCTAGTTTTTCATTAAATAAATATGACTTTCTTTTCTGTAATTCAGGTTTTTCTCTTTTTTGTATCTTTTTAAAATTAATTACAGGTGTCATCTTTTGATATGCATAATTGCTATGGTAAAACTTATATTTCTGTATGTTTGGTAAATTTTGTCTCTTTCCAGTAGTCAATTCATTGGTGATACTGTTCTTAATTGAGCTATTTGTGAATGTACTGAACTCGAAAGGAGTGCTTATGTTCAAAGATGTGTCAGGAAAGACAGCTCCTTTAAAAACAGGCCTAGATGTTGTTGTACTTTGAGTTATCTTCTAACAAAAATGAACAATTATTAAGAATTTTCTGAATTAAAAAAAAATAATTCACATTTCAAATTTAGAGATGCTTAGAAACTTGATTGCATCCTTGTATTTGTTGGTTTGCAATACAAAGAAGGTATTGTATTACACAGTATTTGTAATTATAAAAGCAGACCATTTGTTTAAAAAAAAAAAAAAGGCAGGCAGTGAGATGTTTTCAGTCTTTTTATATTTGTCATTAAAAGAATACCTGGCAAATTAAAGAAAACACAGCCAACTTCTGCTTTTTGCTTTAGCTCAAAGTTTGACACATTGATGCTCTTGCTCAGTTTCTTGTTTTCGTGTCTTTTGGTTGTTACTAAAGCAACTGTCTGAAGTGACGTTTGTATATCGTTCTGGTGACATGATACACATGACAGCACAGAGGAATCTCTTGCAGGTGTTTCACCAGCCCTAAAGGCTCTGGAAGGATGTTGGGCTTTTTGCAGACTGCCTGTAGGTGAAAACCTTAACCACGGCTCTAAGTGGCATTTGTGTTACAGAACAGAGACAGACAGAAAAGGGGAAAAGCTGCTTCATCTCAAGCTGTTGGAAAGAAATCTTTGTCAAACCTAGTCTAGCAGACGTCCCGTGGGGAGGTAGTCTGGCTATCAGTACTTTTGTAACACATTAAAATATGGTTTATTTACTGTGCACTGTCTTAACTTTCTTATGAGAAGTTGATCTGTTAAGACAACTCGTTATTATTTTGATGCATGAAGAGGTAAGTAGTTCCACAGGTAAGGAACATAAAATCCATTGGGTTGGATTATTAAAGTACTACAGAAATAGTTGGCTTCATGTAGTAAAAGTTTCACTCTCAAAATTTGATACTTAGGCTGTTTGACCTGTGCACAGATGTAATTTAAAAGATGTACTGGTACCTTGTGACAGTAGATAAGTGCTTCCAAAGTCCTGCAATCTAGCTTTTTTTTCTTCTTTTGAATATACAACTGTTTGCAGTTTTCTAAATTCAGTAATTATTCTCACCTAAATAAGCTTGTCACATTTACCTCTGTTTTGTCTTCTGGTCTTTAACAGACTTTTGGCTAAATACTTCAGACCTTTTAGAGGAGGCCACAGGTCCCCTGGTGCCTGGCTGGCTGGACTGATGTCCTCCTGCCAGCTGAGCTGCCTCCAGCTCTGCTTTTGTTAGGGAGGGCAGGGGAGAACCCGAGTGTTCCCTCCAGCCTGACACGTGCCCTGGGAGAGGCCGGGGCTCTGCAGGCACAGGTGTGTAGGGCTGGGCACTGTGTCTGGAGGGGTTCAGCTTGGGTTGTGTCCCCAGGAGAACTGTGACTCTGAGAACCTTGTTGTGCTGATCTGCAGTGAGTTTATCTAGGCTGGGATGGCCCGAAGGTCAAGACTGTACTTCTGAAGGGGACTTCAAGAGTGGCATTTGCAATGAGCTCCAGGAGCTGACTGGTGTGGTCAGACAGGTTGGTTCATGTCTTACAGATGACAAATGCTATAGCATAACTACTGTATGCTGACTTACTGTAATGTAAAATAGTACCATGTGGTGTTTAAAAATAAATCTGTATAAAATGCTCAATGCCCATCATCAGATGGAATGATTACAGAAATTACACTTAGGCCCAGATCCTCAAAAGTATCAGGAGCCTAATTCAGTGGATCTCCTCTAAAGAGTGTGAGGATCTGGTAAGTCAACTACACTGTTATATATGAAAAAAAGAAAACATATTAGAAATCTGTACAGTTTACTACCTTATCTAAAATAAATGGTGTATTAAAGCCTGGCATTGTCTTAACATTAGCTATTTATTTTAGAAAGTGCTGTTTTACTTTGCTGTATTGGGAAAGCGTATTCAGATTTGTCTCTAAAAGATGAAATGCAGTAGACCTTGCATTTGTCTGCTTGCACTACCTCTGTGGTTTTCATTGCCCTTTAAAAAGAAAGCCTTAAAATGTTTGACAAATGTGGATGTAAATATTCGGGTTCTGTTGTGACAGTTCCTGCTAGTTCTTGTTTGCAGTAGTGCTTTAAAATTAAAGCAGGTGAACAGTTTTGTATTGCTGCCTGTCCTGTTGTTTTATCCAGAATCTTTCCAAAGCTACTGTGATTAAAGCAGGAATGCACTAGTGGGATACTTACTCTCTGTAGCAATTCATAGTGTGGACAGAGGAAAGGAGCTATCACTGCTTTTTTTTTTCTCCTCTGATAAGCTTTGGCTATTTCAGGGTATTCTTCCAAGGGCCATGTTTAATATCAGGTCCATTTAACTGTCAGCTGTAAAGCAGAATCCCCAGTGCATTGAAATTACTTCAGAAATGCTTTGCTGCTGCATGGAGGGTTATTCTTAGCACCTTCCAGAGTGTCTGTAGTGTCTGCTACAGGGGGTAATGCAGAAGTTTTGTTTAAAAAAAAAAAAATCAACAAAATAAAACCCATGTGAGCTCTGCCAGCAGGAACAGCAAACAGGCAGTAAGTGCCTGGCCTCCTCTTCAGAGTGGCCATAGACCCACTCCCTCTTTAGGTGTGGGACAAGACTTAATATGGGAGTGGTGTGTCAGGCAGAAAATCATTGCTTAACTTTTCTGGGGAGCAACTCCCTGTTCTGCTGTGGTGGAAACTTCTTTTTTTATAGTCCTTACTATTTTTAAAAAAAATGCAGGTTTGTTTTCCACATGTAGAAACAAACTGTGCTGGAATTCTGTGCATGTCTGTGCTGCCACCAGTGCCAACAGTGCAGGATTGTTATTGGAGCTGGGTTTAGTTAAGGATCTTTCCCTCCTGGTTTGATCAGAAGCAAAGCAGCAGCACACTCGTGACCACACTGGCCTGGGGTTTTACCCAGGGTGTTGTTTATCTGCACTTTGTGCCTGCAAGTTTCTTGTAAGGCAGAACAGGTTCTGAGACTCTGTGTGTTGCCCATGGTCTGGTGACTGACTTAAGAGTAGAGCTCTTAAAACAGTGACACAAAAGGGGGTTTTATTTTTATAATTTTATTAGATTAAGTCTTCTGTGAAATCTTCTGTAAACAGGTGCAGAAATTCCCACTGAATATTACTATCAGTGCTATTATGTTCCAGATAAATCAGCTTTTGTTATCTATGGAAACGAAAGCAAAGCAAACTCTTTTGATTTATAGGCTGCTTCTAGAACAGGCTGTTGTCACTGGTACAGTTTGTGTTTCCTGAGCACACTGGAGCTTGTTTCAGAACCAATGAACAAGAGAATGTAACAACATGGGAGGTTTGCTCAGGGGTTGACTGGTATAAACAATGCCAAAGGCCCAGCTCACACACTGAAGTGTAGTTTTCCCTGAGGTTCAAGAGAAGAGACAAAGCTATCAACTGAGAGGGGAGACTGTCTGACAGACTTCTTGAACCATAAATTATTCACAGTGTGCAGTACTGAATGCACTTTAATGATTCAGTATTTTCTCGGCATTGTTTAAGTGGATTTAATTTCCACAGGCTCACCTCCAAACACAGGCAGCCCAGAATCAAGTCTGTTTGTATCAGTAAGAATAAAGGACTCATACTCTGTCCCTCCAAAATGTTACCAGGTTTTTTATCAGGGCTTCAGGTTTGCTCCACCCCCTGTGCTGCTGGAAGGACACATGAACTCGTGTGTTACTGCCCTTCTTACACAGCAATTCCTACATTTCAGTTCTGGCATTGCTTCCTGTGTTGGGGTTTGACAAATGATGTCTGCAGTGACCTTGCTATAAACTAGAACCAAGTGCTGAAAGAACTTACTAACTTAATTTAGACCATAGTGCTTCTGTTCAAATCCCTTAAGCATGTTTTTTAGATTTCAAAACCCTTATTTTTCCCGATGCTACTGCTCCTTAGCACATTATTGTTATTATTACAAATATTATTCTCTAAATAAGTAAGCTCTCCTGCTAAATCAGTTTTGCTTTTTGTCACAAGCCCATCTCTGAGCCTCTCGTGCTGCCTTTGTTGCAAATACAGCTCTCTCAGAATTGCACATTATTGCCTCTTTGTGGGTGTGACCTCTCTGAGGATGGGACCAGCTGCTGCCACGTCCATACACACATTCCAGATACGCCAAGGAATTCTTTCTCAACAGCTTCAATTTTCTCATGCTTGACTCTTATCAGGAAATGAGTATTTTTTTCAAGATTCTTTGCTGATAAAAAGCAGCGAAAGCCCTTAAGACGTGGTTTCAGCTTGTGAACTGCTGCAGCAACATTTTCCTTTTGATTGCATTTACACCCCCACTTAACAGTCCAGTTTAACTGCTAATTACACCTGACACATGTAGGGAGCTGGAAGAGATCACAAGCCATGGAATCTGATACAGCAGGAACCTCAGCCTGGCTGCTTAAAGTTTACTGTTCAGATGCTCCACTCTGGGCTTCACTGCAAAGCCCCCCTCGAAGGCGGCGTTCAGGACCTGCTCGAGGCAGGTGGCCGGCACGAACGTCAGGTCCTGCCGCACGTGCGCCGCGATCTCCTCCAGATCCTTCTCGTTCCTCTGAGGAATGATAATTCTCTTCAGGCCAGCTCGGTGTGCTGCCAGGACTTTGTCTTTAATTCCCCCAACCTAGTAAGGAGAAGAAGCAAAAATATATAAAATATATATATATATATATAAAAACAGCAACGCTCATCTAATACTGGAATTATTGTAACATCACATCAGGAGTTAAATTCTGATTAAAGGTTCTGCCTCCCCCAGTAAGTTAAGAAAGCAATTAAAAATGCAGCCACATTTGTAGCTCATTATGTGCTTAATGAGGGAAATATGTTAATATGCTGTAGTATTCTTTCTGTAACAGTTAATAACAAGGGAAAAATTAAGTGCAGGTAGAAGAGTACCAATAGTGGAAAAGTCATTACTTTTCAGGAATTTTTTTTAACTAAGGTGGCCTTCACTCCATTTTTATATGGTGTGCTGAAATCCTGCATTAGAACAGCAGGCTTTTCAGAAAAAGGCAGTGTTAGATTTAGAGGGAAAAAAGTCCTAAGGAAGCACTGTCACACAAATAACTTGAGTTGTACAACAGAAAATGCACAGAAATGCAAACCTGAGCTCCAAGACTAGAGAGATGCTTTGTGCTACAACAACAGGCACTGCTCCATTGAGCCACCTGGCTGAGTTGGTAATGAGATGTAAAAAGGGGGGTTAAATTAGTTTTTGCTTCGAATCACAGCTGTAGCTTCTTCCCCTGAACTCTCTTCTAATCCTAATTAAAGACCATCTTACAGAAGAAACTTGTAATTCTACAATATTTACAGGAGAGCAAAGCCTTGTATTATAGCACAAAGGGCTGTAATACAAGCAAGGTAGGAGGAGCCATAATCCCCAGGGTGATGCCACTGCTGTGGAGGTGCTGCACACCCAGCACACACTTGGGGCAGCAGCAGGGGCAGCTGCTCGGAGGAATTCAGTGACTGACAACGGCAAGATCCCAGACAACGTTCAGGAAGAAGGTAAATCTGGTTTAACATTTACAGGTACCTGATCTTTGCACCCACCTTTAACAGCAGGCAAAGTGTGGTCACTCCCTGGTGAAGACACTCTGGGGAGCTCGGGCACCTTTCACCAGTTAATGCAGGGCCCAGGAGAACCCTGAACCACAGCCCGTCCTGTCAAGCTCGCTGTCCTCAGAACAAACTCCAGAGATCCTCCTCCTCTGCTACCTCCCCCTGGCACCCCTGCTTTACTCTCCTCTGCAGGACACAAAATGCTGCCTCTGTTTTCCTACTTCATCCTCCTCCTCCTCTCCATCATTTGGTATGGGATGATAACTCCTATTTTTGCTTAATCACTTGCACCAGGCTCCACTGACACTTTATTTGTTTGAAAACTTTCCTTTGCCCTCATGCTTTATTTTCCATAAAAAGCTTTATGGAAACACCTTTTGGCTGAGCTCTACACAAGGAACAACATTTAAGAAAAATCTAAAAATAGGTGTATGGAGGATGGTTTCAAGAGTTACTTACACACAGTTACTGTGAGAGATTTAAGGAACAACTTTTCAAAGAAACCAAAGATAGTTCTGTACTGATAGTTTGAGGGAGCGTGTTTAGAAATTGCAATACCCATTTTGGACCCATCTTGAATTTTAAGATTTCTAAGTTTCCTTTCTAACTAGACATTTTAATGTGTTTTCCACAAAAACCACATCAAGGCTGGCTTTATCTTGAAAAGCAAAGCAGAGGGAGGAGTGGGACAGTACTGCAGCAGGCTGGCTTCCATCAGCCTCCCAACTGCACCAGAAGAGACTGGATTGCTGCTAAGGAATGATCCAGCAAGACCCTGCTTTTCTAAGTGCCTATAAACAGATTTTATATCCAGAATAGGGAGAATTAATACAGCTTAGCTCTTTTCTCAAATGATGCTTACTGGAAGAACAAGGCCTCTCAGTGTAATTTCTCCTGTCATGGCTACATCTGAGCACACCAGCCGCCCACTGAAGAGTGAAGCAAGACAGGTTACTATGGTAACACCAGCAGATGGTCCATCTTTTGTGACAGCTCCAGCTGGGAAGTGCAGATGGATGTCAGTGTTGTCAAGGAGATCAAAACTTCCAGAAGCTTAAGGAAAAAAAAAGAACCGTTTCAATGTTAAAAATCTAAACCCATTTTGTTCCCAGTCTTTATTCTGAAAGCCCACCAAGAATTAAAAGCCTTGGCACTATTTTTTTAACAGTAGGCTGTAAAAACCAACACAACGTTGCAGACACCCCAGAAAAAAAAAACAACAAAAAGAGAACCCAATGAGCTTTCCTGCATCCAGATTCCTAGAAGAAAACTGTAACACATTAACCAGTAAGCTCAGCATTTGCATGTGTTGGCAAATTCAGAGTAGGGATTACTGTAGATACATAGAAATTTTATGTCCCAGACCATAAATGTCAATTTTCAGAGAATATACCACAGAATCAGCACTCCACAGGAACCCACAGGTAATGCCTAGAGCATTTCATACATTAATTCCATTTTGGTTTTTAACCTATCTAAGCTTCCAGACATAATGACAAATACTGGACAATTATTTGCCTATTCAGCAGAAATGCTAGAAAGCACATTTCCACAGCTCCTGGGAGGTTCAAACAAAAAAACAGAGTTAAAATGTTCTTGTCTAGAGTCCTATTGCACTGCAGTTCAACAGCTACCATACAAACCCAACATTCTCAAAATATTAAAACTTAGACTACAAAACCATACTTTTAACAGAATCTGTGTCTTCATTTTAGATAAAAACTACAGACTTCCATATCTATGTACATCATAAAAGTACTGCTGGAAAGCTCAAGTGTAAGAATGAGTAAGAGGCAGAGTCTGGCACCACTCAGGAGAAGCACCTTGGCACTGAGGCTGTCCCAGCCTGCCAGGCTGCTGCAGGGAGAGACTGGCCATGGTGGGAGAGCCTGCAGTGACAACTCCTGTTCTGCCCACACTGACCTGTGTGCCACCAACACCCCCTTCACAGGAACCAGGAAAGAACTACACAAAGGAACTCTGGAGCTGACTGCACCTTCACTGTATCACTGATGGCTGGAAAACTTTCTGTGTTATGGCAACACTTAACAGGTTTCCACAGCGAGTACAAGTAACTCCCCCCGTTACTCAGCAATGCTACAATCTGCTGAATTTCTAACAACCACCAAGTTTTAGGACCCTGAATTTCCCTGCAGTATTAATCCTTGCCCTGCAGCCCTGTGGCACAGAGCCCCACACACCATTGGTGAGCTGGTATCTCTTGGCGTTGCTCCTCAGCCAGCTGATGGCCAGATGTGCCGACTCCTTCATGACGTCCCCGAGCTGCCCCGTCAGGGTGAGCTGCCCCTCCCCATCCATGCGACTCGCTTCCACAAACATGATCTCCCCTCCCAGGGGAGTCCAAGCCAAGCCTATGGCTACTCCTGGCTGGCTCAGGCGTTCGGACACCTGAGGGAAAGAAAACACAGGAAACGGTTTAGGAAACAGTCATAAAAAATCTACTGCAAAAACTATTCAATACTTGCTGTACCCATTAAAACACAAAAGTTAAGGCAAGTGTCTGATCTCTTATTTTACCATTTAATGCAGCAGTAATTCTGGATATGTGTAAACACTAATTACAGGACTGGAGCTGTATGTGGCAGCTTAGCTTAAGGCAATGGCAAACATCTGGGTGTATCGTTCTTGGAACCTTCCCTGCCCCCAAAAGCACAAGAATCTTTCCCTTCAAGGGACTTCAAGTATTTAGTCAATCCTGATTGAATGTTTATGTGACTTAACCCATCTGCTAGAGGTATATTTGCCCTGGCTGTTACCCATGTGAAAAAGACAGTTTTGCTCTCCAGTGTTTAAGGTGGTTGGCAGTGCCTGAACTCAGACAAACACACTGATGTTGTTCACTGCAAACATTTATAAACAACTAAGGGGAAATGTGACTAAGGGGAAATGAATGTGCTGCAGGACAGGTAAGAAAGAGGATGGCAAATCTGACAAGATTTGCCATCCTAATTGAAATTCTAATTCCCGTTAGGAATTACAAGCAGTTAAGCAAGCTCTGCCCCACACAAGAGACAGGAGAGCCAAGGAGCAGAGGCCAGTGAGACAGCCCTGGATCCAGCTGACAGCCAGGGGAGTCAGTAACTACACTTGTATCGTGCTAAAGCAAAGGAAGCCACACAACCCTTCTCCTGTGGCTCTTGGTTATCTGTGCATTTGGAACAACATCATGCCATTTGCCTTTATTAGCACAATTTAGCTAAAATGGCTGTGGTTTTTTCTAGTATTTAAAATTTTACATAATATTGTTTCATTTCTATGGTATCAAAATAGTTCATCAAGCATTTTCACTTTCGCTAACATTAGTTTCTATATTCATTCCCTGAATTTTATTAGTTGGAGCTATTTACTCTGATTATCTTAGTAACTCAGGTTAACAAAGTCAGTTCATCCTGCTCACACTAAAATCCACCAACGCTGGAGTATTCTCCTTTGCACTTGAGACAATCACATATTTTGGCAGCCCACTGTGGTTTCAAACATTTCAGATGTAATGAACAAAATCAGCTGTTGTCCAAACCCTCTCCAACCCCAAAGCAGCCATGAACAAGGTTTGTTGGTTTGGGGTTTTTCTTTCAGTTTTTTTGGACTGGACTCTGTGTATCAATTAGGAACAGCTTAAAGACTGACTCCACTGTTTGAGAGTTCAGGGGCAGAACATAGCAAATGTGACAACAGTTCAAAAAACAAATGGTTCTAAGGACACATCACCTCCCTCCTGTATCCTCAGACTAGGTAGGAATGTCCTACATTCACAAGTAATTTGAGATCTGGTACCAGAAACTAGATGTGTAGTAGGTGTTAATGACCTTTCAAGTGGCAGCTTCAGAGGCCAAGCAACCTCTCCTGCTGTCCTAGTAGAGACTGGACTACCCCTACTGTGACCTCCTCAGCTGAGCCCTACCTGAGGCCTGTTGACAGGCAAACATATGGAAAATGCCCTGGCAGTTTGATATCTGTCTGCAGAAAAGATCTCTGAAAATCCCTAAACACACACAGACACACAACCACACAATACAGAGATGAAAGTATGTTATATTTCATTAAACACCTGGGGAGTGTTACAGTGAGCTCCACAAGACTCAGTCACTCTTGGCACTTCTGAATCATTTCTTGTCACCAAAAGCCAGATGAATTTATATTAGAAGAAATCTTTTCTCACACTTTTTAGAACAACTTCAATTAAAAATGACCTCCAGAATCAGCTGAGGACTAGTCACATCTGTCAGATGATAAAGATGATTTTACTGACTTTAAGTCTTGGGTTTTGAAAATTTTTGTAGATGAGACCAACCCAGCTGTGATGTAGCTGTAATCTAAACATACCATCAGATACATTTTAGCTGCCTGGACACTGCAGAACTAAAGCCTTAACATTTAGCACAGTCATTTATTTTAAAACATTTACAGTTGTTCCAAGATAAAGGACAAGAGACGTCTGCACTTGTGGAGTTGCTTTGTAAGTCAGTGTAATGGACAAAAAGCTATTTAATCATTGATTCACAATGGCATGATGAGAACCAGTTCAGTTACTTGCTGGCCTTGAGCATCTTTGTTATCCTTCCACAGGTTCTCCCAACCTGACTGTATCAACCTTTTTCCAGTCTCCTCTTCCGATTCATTTCCTGGCAAATCACTGCTGGCAAAGCACATTAACAGCAGCTGCCCTTTGAGGGAGGAGGGTTTCCCAGAAATATCACCACAAGACTGATAGCTCTTTGATAAAAATGTCCATCTAAACCTGTCCTTTGTCCAGGTTTTGCTTCTAAAAGAACCTCCCTTGTTCTTTAATTAGAAGTGTGCACGTCCCACGAAACAGAGCCATTATTTTATGGCATCTGCACTTTCTTTTCCTAGAACAGGCAATTTCACTGACCTACAGCTTCTGTCCCTTCAACTTCACTCCCATTATGAGGATATAAACTAATCCTGACGGGCCTTCCTGTGGTGCCAGTAATGTTTTGTTACCTGAGCTAAAAAAAAAAAAAAATATAAAATCCAAGCCAAAAATATAAATAGTTCATTATAAACACACTGGATGTGTTATAAATCCTTTCCCCCAAAAGCGTGCAGTGCTGAAACATTTCATTAAATCTTTTACACTTTAAACTGTCAAGATTATTCTTTCAAAGCCTCACTATGTGATTTATTCCAACATTTGTTCTGTAGGGTGACATATAAGATTATTTATTTGTGATAAATGAATTAATCCTACAAGTATGAGCTGAATATTCTGTCATGTCTTTCTGCTGGGAGAGCCGTGCAGAAAACAGACAAGCAAAGCACTGAAAAGGTGAAAGATTATTCCCTTGTGTTCGGGTATTCCCTAAAGGACAACAGATCAATTAAGTCGTGTCATGTTTTCAGTTCTATTTGCTCAGTGTCATCCAGGTACTCACACAGTGGCTTTGTTTCAGCGACTGAGAAATGGCAAAATGCAGGTCAAAGTTGAAGCTTTAAGGCCAAATATGGAGAGGAAACACACTCTGCAGACTTACACACCAGAAAAACCACCAGCAGCCAGTCTGAAAGGCCTGCCAGAGACAGGAGCTGTGCTTGCAACTCATTTGCAAAGTTTCCTCATTTCTGTCTCTTCCTTAAGAATCTCTTCCATGATAAAACCTTTGTATCCCAAAACCTCAGTTCAGTTCTAAAAACTGACTCATTCCTTAACAAGCACTTGTTTTCCCCTGCACATCTTGTCCCCTTCTTGTTCTCCAAATCCCACTGGAGTCTGGGCCTCTGATCTAAGAGAAAAGAATTCTAAGAGGAAAGTTCTCAGAAGTTTGTCTCTCATGGAAGTTTTCCCTTCTGTTCTATTTTCTCCATAACTTACTGCTTTACTGACCTTTTCTCCACAATAAAGACAGAAAAATTCAGTGTTTCATCAGAAGAAGTTTCCTGTCACATCACTGACACTCAGTCACTTCACCTGGGCCTGAACTAAGGCAGAGAATAACTGCAATGGAAATGGTGAAAAGAGAATCCCAAACTAACAAATTCCTTTACCTGATGGCATTTCCATAGAATGGAGGAATGCACAGATGGGGGAGAGAAAAAATTCTGAAATATGCCTACTGAGGAACAGAGCTGGAGGTGCCTGACTGATCATAAAACATTTTAATAGCTAAGAGTGGCATTAACCTAAAGAATGTCTGAGAACTTCTGGTGCAAACTGAAGTGGCTTTAATACCCAAAAATGCTGACTGGCTTTAAGGAGGTATGTGGGACAGTCCTTAACATAGCTGCTGCAGAGACAGGATTCCTGGGTTCTACTTTTGGCTTCTTTCCCAAGACCACCAAACATCCCCCAAACAAAAGCAAACTTGTTATAAACTGAAAAAACACCACCACATTCTTAAGCACAGAATAGCTCCAGGCATCTCTGCTAACAGAAAGTCATGGCATTAGGTTATTTATGTACCATGAGTTAAAAGAAAACAAAAACTTCTTTAGGTGAAAAAACAGTTCTGTTACTGACACATTTTAAAGAAGTTAATATTGTATAAACTCAGTCAATAGCAATAAAATACACAACTAATCAAACCAGCCAGAAACAACAGTCAAGCAGAAACAAATGAGGATGTTACCTCCATTTCATACATGGGTGGCCCCAGGATATCTTTTAAAGCGTGGAAATCAATTAAAATCGGCATTTCAGGTGGCAGAGCCAGGTCAGCTGTGTCACTGATGGATTCTGGTTTTGCATCTTCTGTGACATGCTCTTTGCAATCTAAGAGAAGAAAATCTGATTTAGGATTTGTAACAGTGTTTCTCGACAGAGGAATTTTAAAAAATCATGACAGAGAAAAATAAAATATTTGAAGAAATGCTTAGAAAATTCATTAAAATGTGCTTAAACCATCTTTCACCAAAATCTTGTTACAGTAATATGGCATCACATTTAATTATTAAGCCTAAATATGTTCTAACTGTTCATCAACAAAAATATTAAATCTAGAACACTGACAGAGATGCAACTCATCTGCTTAAATACATTTTAAACTAATTCAAATTGCAAAACACATTAAAGTTCATTTAGGACTTTGCACTTTTCACCAGATTTCTGCATAGAAACAGTATTTCATACAATCAGAATGGTTTGGGCTGCAAGGGACATTAAAGATCATCTAATTCCAAAACCCTGCCATGGGCAGGGGCACCGTCCACCACATCAGGTTGCTCCAAGCCCCGTCCAACCTGGCCTTGAGCACTCCCAGGGCTGGGGCAGCCACAGCTTCTCAGGGCAACCTGTGCCAGGGCCTCACCACCTTCAGAAGAATTTCTTCCATAAGGAGCAATGTCGTGTAATACAGAATATGGAGCTGAATGTGGAAATGCTCAAAGTTCAGTAACTACTGTGTTCTTTTTACAGACATTTACAACTGTGCTCTCTATGCTCTCTTTCAGCAAGGATTCAAATGCTTACTGTTTGACACTCAGAATTAAGTTCTGCCATGTAAAGCAGGAGCATTTGGTCCAGATTTACATTACTTTTCCACTATTTACCACCGGCCCATCTGCATGACATCCAGGAACATTTCCTTTCACAGTGTCCAACAAGGACAGCTTAACTTACTGCTCTGAGACTCTCCTTCTTCCCTCCACATCCCACTCCTCTCACACACACCCTCAACAGAAGAAGCTGCCATGTGTAGACCACACAGAAACCAGCTCCCCCAGGAGCCTACGATTCATCCAGCCCCAGTGTGCCACCTCCTTCCAGGCTGTCCAGGGAATCACTGCCCCAACACAGCAGTGCCCACCTTCAGCACAGCCTGTACAGCACATATTCTGACATTACACCTCTCACAGTGCATTTAGTCTCTTACAACTTCTATGGCTTTACTCAATCATGGCATGGTTTGGGTGGGAAGGGGCCTTTAAAGATCATCCAGTCCAAGCCCCCATAGGCAGGGACACCTTCCACTCAACCAGGCTCTTAACTCACAGAACTGCCACCTCCTGTTGCTTCAACAGCCAGTTCAGAACACAGCACATACAGCCCATGTTCAGTGGAGAAACCTCAAACCATTTCAGTGTAACAGCTTCATCTGTGGCTTTTGTCTTGAAATACTATACTTACACAGGGCTCTGGTCTTGGCTTTGTTGGATGAGATACTCCTAAGGTATCCTGACCAGTAACCAGTAGCAGCAAAATATTCCTCAAAGGTCTTTTTTTTAAGAAACACCTCCAGGTATGATATACTCTTCAGGAAGGGTATAATATAAACCCCTTATAAATATGTAGCTGGAGACTTTTGAATGCAATATACTCAAGTGTCATCTAGAAGGGACCACATAATTAAAGCAATAGTTATGGCTTCAGAAGTGGGCTCTTCCCTTCCTTCATTTATAGCACAATTGTATTTCCTACCTATACAACTGTTTTCTTAGTAAAACTGCCTTAAAATTTCTCTTTTCTCTACAAATGTGTTTTCTGTACAAAAAGGAACTGCAGTGGGAACCAAGTAAATATCAAAGTCTCACACCCCAGCCTGGTCTCAGACTCAGCCTGCACAGCCTGTTGTTTGCATGACTGAGCTCAAGAACTCAGGAGGTGCACACTGTGCACTTACTGGACACAGAGGGAGAATGCAAGCAGGGAGTCATTTCCCCAAGGAATTTGATCCAGATGCAAAAGGCTCATTACCATTTTCCCAAGAGCCCGAAGCAATATTTTAGTGAAACACAGAGAGATGAAAAATATTTGGATAATCCAGATGTTTCTAAGGTTCTGTGGCAGTTTCACAGCAGAGCCTCCCTGCCACTGAGAAAAGAATCCTGCACATTGTGAAGATATTTCTTCCCACCCCAAACACATAGGCCTAATACATATTTAAACCATAGTCTGTATTACACAGAAATATATACCAAGCTTCCAGACTCCTGCATCATATTTTGGGAAGTTACCCAAATATGGATTGCTTCATTTCTTTGAATTCTCTTACATTTAAGTTTGAAAAGAAAATTTTGGTTTCTTCCTTCTTCAAAGGAATAAACCATCTTCCTTCACACATTAATGCATGCACAATAATTGAAGATCCCAGAGTTTAAACAACTACAGAAAAGCACAAATCACTGATCTAATCCATTTACTATAACATGAAGAGGTGTTCAGGGCTGCAAAAGTAAGTCTCAGAATGGATGAACCAGAATGCCTCCTTTCACAAGATACAAACTATCCTGTTTTTAATCTTGATTTATGAAGGCCTTTTTACAGCTAATTCTGTAGCAGTGCAATTCTCACTAATGCCTTAATACAGTATGAAGGAAAACATTTGACATGACTATTACCAGAACAGCAGCAACTCAGCTTTCATTCAGGACTCAAATGTAAGAGCTATTATCCAACATCCACTAATCTTTCCATTGTACAACCCGTTGCTCCGTGCATAAATCCCACTCCTTTACTGTAAACACTGCCTTAGTCAGATGGCTCTCCTGTTGTTCCAGCATGTCTCTATATTTTTGTTAAACCACTATTTTTGTACATAATAAAATCATAGACATAAATACTAACAAGCCTAGGAAACGTAACCCTGCCTGCTATTCTTGCAACTCAGACTGCCATTTCAACACCACAGATCTTTGAAACCTGAGTAATCTGATATACAATTCATATTTCACAATAAAATTAAGTTTAAAAACAGCTGGTTTTGTTCTATACCAAGATTTTACTGTCTAACAAACACAGCTGTTCTTGTTTCACCTAACTCTGCATATGCAGCTGAAGAGACAGAGTTCCCATAAACAAACCAGTAGGGAATTTGAGGCCACCTGCCCTATAAAAGAATCAGAAATTCTGAGTTTATCTAATCCAATTAGTAGATCCCATTTTATAATCTGTAACAATAACAAACTTCAAAATTTTATTAAAAATATTAACCTGAACTCTGACATTATCTACTTTTATATAAAAGCATACAGTGATGTCCCAAAATATAACTACAAACACTAATATTTTCTTTGAAGGAAAAAACCATCTTGTTTTATCATCTTTGACCAAGTGCTGACCCTGAAGAATCCATAAAGACACAAGCAATTAGGATTTCCATTAACAATGACAAATGCATGTTCCCTACCTACACACAGCCATAAACCACAGCACAAGTTAAATGACACATTTATCTAAACCAAGACAGCTAAATTCAAGTTTCCAGAAACAGAACAAGCTTAATCATCTTACATTTTAAAGTAAGTTGGAAAAATAAGCTAAAAAGTCAAAGAAGTGCCCTTAAACACAGCTCTAAACTGCACTAGAGGAACCACCTGCTGATCTGCTATTACATGACTGCTTAAGCAAAAGCAGTATGGTGCTGTTTCAACATCTAAAAATTGTAAAAACTAAAAATAAACAGTAACAAACCAACATAGAGCTTTCCCAAAGTAACAAAAAAAAACGTTCAAACAACAACCAACCAAAAAAAGAGAATTACTGTCAAATTTTCCCAGCAGAATCCGCAGCTACTCAAAGATCACAACAACGTCCCTCAGGAATCTGCCTTTGCAAGTTCCAAAATAAAACAAAATCTCACATGTAAATACTGGATTTGTAAGAAAATGGACTCCTAAGAAAACATACAGTGAACTATTAGGAATTCCATGGCACAAAGACTTAAAAATTTAAGACTGCTACAGGTGTAATGGAAATGAGAGAATGCAAGAGTCTAAAACCTCCTTCACATGTAGCAATTTCTCATCTTGTCATAAAATATAATTAAATTAAGCACCAGCAACACATAAGTCTCAAACCCAAAGATTTCTAGCCATACTTACTGACCAAGAGAGAACAATTATAATAACAGCCTAACATTTTAGAGCGGTTTTTAAGGTAACACATTCTGATTTGCTGAATTGCTATGAAGAGGAATGAGAAAGAACATCAGAATGACAGAAAAGGTTTCAAGCTTGAGGGCAATTAAAGGGAAAATAACATGTTCTTTCTTTCTCATCTGACCTATCAGCAGATGCTTCAGCACACAACCTACAGAGCCAGGATTCTTTCAGCCCCTCCAAACTAACAAACTCCCCAAAACTGCACTCAGGTAGGAAAGGACAGGATTGCTCTTGCTGACAATGGCTCACGTTCAAAGCCAGGCATAACATGAAACTGTGTCCTAAAAGCAACATTCCAATGTCCAACTTAAACCTTGTTCACCATATTTTTGGGAAGCACTACTTCCACCCGATTTTCTTTAGGAAGGGAGCACCTTCCTGGGACCCCAATCCTCTAAAACTTACTTATACACCTAAATTTAATGCTCTGTGTATTTTTCCCCACAGGATCAGAAAAGGTCTCTTCTCATACAATAACTGCATTCCAACAATTGTGATCTCGACTAACAACATTTACTTGAAGCACTTGAATTTGGGGTGTTCATGCAGGAATGCCTAGATAAATTAACATGGAAATCATGGGAAAAAAATTGTTTGTACATAAACCCAAACTTTTCATAACATTTATGCCCTTTTGCCTGCAATGGGAAGGTCAGTCCAAGCAGTCTTTAGAAAGAGCCTCATATTGCAGACTGCAGAGCTTAGTAAGGCCAGCAGAGCTGGGCTCAGACTGCAGTATCTGCAGCTCCACCACCGTGGGATTGATGCTCACCAGATTTCATACCCTACTTTCTCAGTGCTACAGTGTGTGGCTTAAAGGGCTGAGGTTTTGTTAGAACATACAACAGGTCGCTTTTTGCAAGAGCAGTGGTGTCAGCAGAGCTGTATTAGGGCCCTCACACACACTAAAAACAAGCAAATCCCTCTCACAATGCACAGTGGTTTGTGATTAAATGCACCATGCCCAAGTTGAGAGATGGAGGACACTTCACGTGTCAGTTCACATTGACTACTTGAGTCAAACATGCATTTAAATTCAAAACTAACTGTTGTTTCATCCATAAGGAGTAGAACAAACTGCACTGTTATTACTGAGTTATGGAAATAATTAAGTATTTTCAAAGCCTTAGTTTCAACATAAATAGAATCCTCATTTAACCACTTTTAGTTATTAAATATTACCTGTCCTAAGTTTCCTTTCAGGTCTGAATTAGAGAAATAATTTTTCACTCCAGGTTTCAACTGCTGTATCATGATATGATGCCTTAGTGCACAGTTTGCTGCACTGTATTCTCAAGGCACTTGCACTAAAATAGGAAGGAGAGTTTCACATATTTTTGTGACTACTAGAATTTCGTCTACTGTCAAAAGACTCAAGGAGTGTCTCATAAATCTTAGATAGTGTTGCAGTGAAATATCAGATGGTGTTACTGTACACAAGGATGACTCCCTGGAGAGGCTGAAAAATGACTCCCTTTGCCTTTGCTGAAGTTCATGTACAAACCCAACGACTGAGGCAAACCAACACTGCTCCACTTGCCAACTTCACAAAGCTCAGGAGTCAAAGGAGCAGGAAGGCAGGACAAAGCTGCCCCTGTGCTTCAGTCATGCATTTTTGGGAAGTGCTAAACACAGCTTGACAGAGCATCTCCCAGCATCAGCTCTGCTATGGCAGGTACCCTTCATTTTTAGAGCCTGCTATCAATGTCAAAAGCCTGATCTTTACAAAGCCCTGCAAACAGGTGCTCCTCTTGGAGTTAATGATCTGACAATCAGTATGATGATGGGAATTTTGTGATTCTTCTACCTAATGCCTTTTAACTTTTACTCCAACCCACGAGCCACAAGGCACTCAGCTAAATAAGCACAACAGGCACCATGGTACTATTTGGATATGCTATGAACCAGACACAAATTATGCTTTAGCAAGCAAGGCAAGGCTGGAGCTTGCCCTCTCCTAGTCCCAGCTCAGGACATATCAATGCACTAACTGTAGTCTCAATCCTACATCAGTACCTGACAAATGTGTAAAGCAAAAATGAATTACAGGTCTTCTTCTAGAGGAAAAAAAATTCAAGAAATACTTCTAAATGAAGCTATTAAGAGACAACAACTTGATTAACTATTCTTCCAGAGTCATTCATTATACGAAATAAAAATTCATCATCAAGATGCACAACTGCACAAACGTCTGCTAATCAACAGGAGAAAAAAATGCCAAAAAAAATAAATTTAGGCTACAAATCCCACTATTTGCATCTACTTGCAAGTATTTGGAGATATTTACAAGCTTTGTTCTGAATACTTGGTTGTTTCCAACAGATAGAATGAAAACTAAACAAAAATATTTTTAAAAGGATCCTACTGTCATATACTCCCAGCAAGTGACAGAGTCTGTTAAAAATACAGCAGGGTATAAGCACGTTATTAGTACAGAACAAAACACACTTTGCAGACTGCACCATTCTATACAAGTCTTCATAATACACCACAGTTAAACGATAGAGCCACCTGTCCCTCAGACTCCCTTTTATTAAATACCAGCTTTTTCTTACCAACAGTTTCCACACCAGAAATACAAAGGCAGCTCTTCACAGCTCATTTCTTCTGGGCTTACTCCAAACTCTTTGTCAACCAGAAGCACTAACATTTTGCCCTCTTCTGAAGCACTTAGATTGCTATTTTCATTTAGCCTCGGTAAGTTGCAAGTCCAGTACTAACTTTAACAGTGTATAATTTTAAGAGTGTAAATACCTAAGTTGCAAGTACAGTGCTAATTTTAACATGGTAAATACCTCTCTGGCCGGATTGAGATGTCTAATACAGTTCCTTTTTGTTATTTGCCTTAATAATAAAGTGTTTCTTCTTAGAGTACCATGAGTTGTGCTCTGAACCTACCTTTCATTTATTTTATCAGAAGGCCTGAAGAACAGAATGACATTTCTTTTTATTCAGCAATTGCATTAAAACTTTGAAGCACATTTTAGACACAGCTGCCCTTCAATACAAAGAAATACTTTAAAAATATGACTTGTCAGAACTGCTATCAAAAAAGTGAAGTAGCAAAGACCCTGATGGTGCTTGCAAGCCTGGCCACCACAGCACAAAGGCTCAGTGTTCGGGTTCAAGGGCACATCCAGGTATCCCAGAAGCATCGACAAACTCAGTGTTTGTCTTCAGAACAGTCCATCACAGAGGAGAGAAGGTGCACATAATATAAATGGAAAGCATTAATAAATACATCTTAAAAGCTCTTCTTTTAATGTAGGTGAAATTATTTAAACTACAGGATCATTCACACATTCAGAGCCACTGCTACTGTGAGAGTTCACTGTTATTAAGCCAAACATTCTGAGCTGAATCCGCTTAACCAAACACGGCCAAAAATCAATCTTTTGGTATTACAGCTTCCACAGACACTGTGATGACCTCAGAAAACTCAAAAAGGTAAAAAAAGATTCAATTTTCAGAAGGGAAATACTGAGCTAGGAAAAAAAGACAAGGTAAAGCTGACAGACCATCAAGAAACAGATTTTCAGAGAGAGATTACTGAAGTTTTTACTGTGGGTAAAACTCTTCTTCAAATACCCCTCTAATACCACTGCTTGTACAAATATTGATTATATTTCCTCCCCTGGGATTTACTCTCTAAAAGGGGTGTGCACCATTCAGACCCATACACTGCCTTTTCTGAAAGGAATAGATAATGAGTCTCCTTATTTGTCCTCCTCTAATCCAGATCAGAACTCTTCCAGCTGTACAGATGTTGGAACCTATAGGTTTTTTCCACATCAAATAATTGGAAAGTATTTCACAACATCCCACCAAGAGGGGGGGTCCTGTTTAGTATTTTAAGTTTGTGAATATCCTGGAGCAAAAGTAATCAGCTATTCTGCAGTTTTGGCTTTCCAGGATCCTCTGACACACAATTGTTCTCCAACAGACTGGAAGGACTTCTTGTCTGAAAGTGTCACCTGAACTCATTTCAGTCCTTAAAAGAGAAATGAAGCACCCCATACCCTGCTTGCTAGGTTTTATTAGACTAAGGGCTACCCACATTTCAGAAGTCCAACTTCAGGTTTGGATTTTGTCCTTTCATGTTTCACATTTTACCTTATGCTGAGGGCTCCTGCAGACACCCAGTGCTCAATGAACACTCTGAAGCTCCAACAGAAAACTGCTGTGCACGGTGACATCCTCCACCAGCAACTGGCTGAACAACAGCACCACCATCTACACTCTCCATGGTATCTCTCACCAGACACAGTGTGGATGTTCATTTATTAAAGAGAACACTCGAGTGGGGATGAAAAATGGAGCAGTCACCAGCTGTGTGTTGCACATGAACTGGATTATGGGCCTGACTTCTCCCTTCCCCCCTTCTATCTCAACACGAGAAAGGGCTCTGCCTTTTCTGGTGGAACAGTGACCTGGGTATTTGTACTGTTTGAGAATTTTATGTTTAGTTTTCATTCAGTCTGTTGGATGACTGGGAATGATAAAACACTGTATACATGGGAAACAACAACAGACTTACTGATGTTGAAAAGTTACCAAAGCTCCACGGGTTCAAATAAGTGCAGTCCTAAAAGGCACATAAAAAGAGCCTCTAAACCTTCCTAATTTCAAAGCTCTTCAAGCAGACAATTATTTCAGAGTACAAAATAATGGGATTGAGTTCTGAGCCAGTAGAGCATGCACAGCACAGTTAAAGAACCTCTTTAAATAAAATAACTAAGTTTAACTTAGTTTTTTATTCAAGAAAATAAGTGGAAGATTTGCATAAAAAAGCAAAAATATACACAAATCATAACTGCATCCCTAAGATATCAAACAGATCCATTGTATTTCTCAATTACCAACTTGGCAGGCTGAAATTATGCCCCGAGTCACAATTCAGCACTACTTGAACCATGCACAAGAATAATGTCACACTATCCTCAATGCTTTTGAAAACAGCCCTTAAAGAAGCACCAAAAAAAGGAGGAAAAGTTGGTAAATTAGCTTCCTAGTGACTACATTAGAAGTTCCCTTTTTAATAAATCATGCAAAAGATACACACCTTCTCCTTCCCCCACTTCAGCACGATCTGGCTTTGCCTCTTTGTGCTGTCCCTCTGCCACTTTCACTGCCACTGCCCTGCAAATGGCTCCCAGCTTCCGATCCAGAGCCCGCACTCCTGCCTCCCTGGTGTACCTGGGGGAGACACAACTGGCTTACTGCTGGCTGCTCTCTGTAAGAGAGTTCTCTGCAATGCAAACACACTTTCTTATTAAAAACACATCCAAATAAAATGAGGCGTGAAAGGCAGCGAAACCTTGGACTAATCTAACAAACAAGAAAAAAAAAAAGTCATTTGTTTTTATCCAAATAATTGTGGTTGCTGATAGAATTGTAGAGAAAGAAACTACTGAGTGGGAAGAAGACACCTGGTGTTAAACCTCCATGAAATTATAAACAATGTTTCAATAGCACTGAGCTCTTCTTAGATGCATAAAAATTAAAAGGAAGAACTATTTTAAAACTTTGAACTTTACTGAAAGTTGAGGAACTGACTGTAAAAGAATATTTTCTTATAGTCTGTAAATTAAAAACAAGCACCAGACAATAACACTAAACAAAGCAGCCAAAATGTTGTTACTGGTCACAGAATACTTGAATTCACTGAATCTTGATCCTTTTTCCATTGAAAATGAGTTAGTTTCAAGTTCAAAAGATGTTCTGATCAATGTATGTGTTCTCACATCCAACAAAAAAAGTTCTAATGAATACAAGCTACTTTAAAACCCACATTTCAATTTGTTTAACCTAATTCCAAATTTTAAACGAATGTGGCCCATCCAGTCACAAGGAAAAAAAATGTAATTTCCTTTTTGTTTATGAAAATGATAGAAATATAACTTTGTTCTTTAAAATCAATGTTGTCTGCTGTCAGACCTTGGCTTCACACACTGCAGCAACACTGGCCTCAAGTGCTCTTGTTTTGCCAATGGTGTCAGCACAACTAATTGTAGCCACACTGGGAGAGCAAGAGCAAGGAATTCTCTACAAAAGGATGAGTTGCTTTATACAGCAGAGTGAGATAAAGCTAAGGAAAGAGCAATTCCATAATTTACCAACTGGTGAACTTCTGAAGCTATTAAGGACAATAGATCTGAAGACATGTTTTGTGTTATCACACTATAAATTGATTTACTAGTTACAAAAAAAGCAGTTATTTAAACTGAAAGCAACAAATGGACTTACCTGGTAATTATATCCAAAGTGGTTACTTGGGGAATCTGAATTTGCTGAGGAGTCAGGCCATGCTGTTCAAGCTGTTTAGGAATCAAGTGTCTATGGGCAATTTCAATTTTTTCTTCTTGTGTGTATCCTTCAAAGAATAAGCATGTATTTATTAATCTTTTTGCTTATACACTATAATATAACCAAATTTCTTACCTTTTATAATTCTATCTAATTGAATTTAACACAAACCACCCCCAGCTATAATTTAAAAGGCTGTTGGTATGATCCTTTATGGTGATTCATAACTTCATGTGAACAAGAACAGAATTTTAGTGTTTCAAAGACCCTTTTCTTCATTGGAATCTTAAAAAGATGCATCAACCAACAGACTATTAGAATACAAACAAATCAGTGAATGAAAATATCATTTCAGAATGTATCAATGTATCACCACAGCCCTGGCACTGAATTTTCCTAAGTGCAATGCTAAGTGTCATTCTCATGGCAGAGCCCATAACAGAGGGATCCTTCCAAGTCTCTTTTAATGATTCTGGCCGTGCACTCCAGATTCCTGGCAGGCTTTCCTTAAGGAACTGCCCTTCATTTCAGGAAAAACACCCTGAACTTGTTTAGGGATTTGCAATAGTCACTTCAATGAAAACACTGCAGAGTTACCTGGAACTTGGATAATTTCCATTCTGTCCAGCAGAGCAGGTGGGATTGTAGCTGTAGTGTTGGCTGTAGCTATAAAAAGGACTTGGGACAGATCAAAGGCTACATTTAAGTAGTGATCGGTGAAACTGTGATTTTGTTCTGGATCCAACACCTTAACAAGAGTGAACACAAAAGAGATGCAATTGCTCAATTAGAAGTAAAGAAAATATGGGTATATTTATTATATTCCATTTGGATCTGTCAAATCTGACTTTACATTCATAGAATATGTTATGAACATCACTAAAGCCTGACCTTGCTCAGATCAGTCTGTGACTACATTTCCCACCACACACAAAACAAAAGAAGTCGTTTCCTCATCAGTTGTTTCTGCCCTTTTCTAAAGGTGGCTGCAGCATTGCTCCAGCCCTCCAGCACCTCCCATAAGCTCTATCTCCATGACCTCGTACACATGGCAGAGAGTGGCCCTTCAAGGACTCTCACAGTAACCTTGGAAAAGCAGCTCTCATGGTCCCATGGAATAAGCAGAATTCTCTCAAGTAATCCCTGACTCCAATCTTCATCTGCTGCTGGTAGCTCTTCTTACTCTCAGCACACCAACCTGTGAGACCTCCCCACAGATATCACAATCCCAGCCCTTTCTGCTGTCCCTAAATCTCTCACCCTGCTCATTCAGCTCTGGCCAGCCTTTCACTAATGGAGGAGTACAAGGTCTTCTCCTTGCCCATGACATCCCCTGCAAGTCTCGACTCTTGGTGAGCCCTGGCTTTCCTAACACAATCTTTGCATTTTTCTCCCCACCACCCCCCCTCGAAAAAAATCAGAGACAAAATTAAACAAGCACAGCAGAATAACAACACACAGTCCAACCACCCTCAAAAATTTACTGAACAAGTAGAACTATGGCTTAAATAACTGCGTTGTCTTCCCAGTGCTGTCAGTACCATTTATGTGTGCTAATGCAACACTTGTGTATATTCAAGCTATTACTTGAATAAACTGCTTTTTCACTATCAGGTGGATCACAAGGGTACTAAGATGCTGTTTTGTGTTTTTGTAAATGTTAGAAATGGGAAGTTCATTGTATATAGCAATGTTCACTTGGTTTCTGTATCACCTATGAACCACCTTCACTCCACCACCCCTTAAAACACTGTCACACTTACTCCTTTCCAAATGATGAATTATCAGTGCTACACGAACATGAATAATTCTCATGTTACAAATACCCATGCATCTCCTGAGAAATAGCACACCACTGTCAAAATAATTTATCTGCCTACACCCAAATGAATGCACACAAATTATAGACAAGAACAGTGTTGATAATGAAAAAAAACCCTGAATTTGAGCTTAGATGGTCATAAAGAAAACAACTCTGAATTTTCATTACTCTTAAATTCTGTTCAGGTTTTGAAAAGTGAAAAAAAAAATCTTTAGAACAGAATTACAATCAGAACAAAGCAGGAAAATACTGTTTTTACAGAATGCCAGAAACACAGCAGAGTTTCTTAAAAAACAGAATAAATTCTGGTTTCATTTTGAAGTACTGCTCAGATTTAGGAGCAATATTTAGAAATGTATTGCAACTGTAAGAAAACACAATCTACACAATGCCCCCTAATAGTGAAATCTTAAAACACACCAAAGCATATGCCTAAATTCTAAAACTAAGGCTGCAACTCAGTGAATGCCATTGTTCATGGGCTATAAGCTATTCAAAAGCTTTTCCTACACTCTTCAGCAAGCAGCTGCTGTCATTTACTCCCTTCTCTATCAATGAAGGCAAAGGCCTTGAAGTATCCTGACAAGCCAAGCACACTGATGCATAATTCACTCAGTTATAGATGTCCCTTCCCTCAACCAGCCCTACAGGGAGACACAACAACAGGCAGGGAATCCAAGCACAGCATCTACAAACTGTTTTCCAAGAAAGCAGATCTGTATCAAATATCAGTTGCCCAAAGTATACTCTTCTAAATTTTTCAAAACTGATTTAAACAGCAAATCCTAACTCAGATTACCCCCCTTTTTTTAACACTGATAACAGTATTTCCACAGTATTGTAGTCTATTAGCTGAAGGATTTGCAACTACTTTCAAAACTGTTGAAAAACAATGTATTCTGACAGACCAAACTGGTATTTTGCCACATTAATTTACAGGCATGTTTCTCTCTTTCTCCTTCTAGTCTGCAACTAGAAATCCTTATGAATCCTACTAAATGACAAGCTGGTGATTATAATATTATTTACAAAGATGCACAAAATACTGATGCTGTACTCATATGCAAACAATACTATCTAATAGAGGTAAATGAAACTGTAATCCGAGCCAACTCAGATAATATCTAAAAATGTGAATTATCTGAGATTTTTTAATAACAACTAGAGTTTCTCTGGACTCATATTTCTTTGTCATGGTAACTATTTCTTAGAATAAGACATAAAACAGTATCACTCTTATGCATTTCAAACAGATTTTCCAAAACAAATAGAACTGTTCTTCAGTGAGGTATCTGTGCTAAAGTTCAAGTTCAAAAGTTTTTAAAGATATTCAACTAATACAAAAATATTAAGTACAAAAAGAACATTGAGTGCACAAAACTTCTTGGCTAATTTACGGCCAACAGCTCACATGCACACAAAGGCTTCTCTGTAACAGCTTTTTATTACCACAAAATCCAGAATAAGTTCCATGAACATTTAATTGCCTGGCTCTGCTCCTGGTCTAATTTCCCTGCATACAAATAGTCACTATCAGGCACTTGGATCCATTTCTGTTTTCTTCTGGTTTTTAACAGAGGTCATCTAAATTTAGACTAAAATATTCCGTTGTTAATGAACAGTATCTGGAAATAGGAAGACATTCTGTCTTGCTTAAGCAACAACTCTGCAGAAGCATTAGAACCAAACACATATCCGGCAATTATCAAACATCAAGCTTTGCTTCCAAGCTCACAAGGTTATGGCAATTCTCTCCTTGAATATATCCCATTGTAGACAGCGATAATTTAACACACCTACACATCAGGGAAAAAAGGATGTGCCTTTTATACTTAATGATGGCACTTACCAAACAACAAGCAGCAGTGTGGAAAATAAATGTAGCAGTTAGGTGACCACCAACTACTGTTTGCTCTCCTACATAATAGCCACCTTTGCTTGTTCCAGATGGACTTCCCAATAGTAAACCACAAAAAGCAGATGAAAATTAAGCTATTATGTCCAGACATGAGTTCTCCATTAGAAGAGGTAAAGCACCTGCTTCAGGATGTTTAGCCAGCAGTAGAGGGATATACAGATCTCACAGGGGAGCAGCCCAGACGTGGTTAATAGAGCAATTACTTCTCCAGATGCAACTAATGGTCAATTAGTAAGGGCTTACATAGAGATTGCAGCCCAGGCAGACAATTGGAAGCAAACCTGATGAGTCTCAGCTGGAAAAATCCATGGCAGGAGCTGAGCTGAATATCACTGAGAATGTGGGCTTCAAATACGGAAAACAGAAACATCTCAAAGCAGCAACAAAGCATCCAAAAATCAAACACAACTAATTAAAAGAAAGAAATTTCATTTGCCCTCATGAACTTGACATGATAAAAGAAGAATACAGTTGTTCTCTACTGCAGGACAGGGAAGGAAAATAAATTAGAAGCAGCAGCAAAGGTTGAATAAAATTAATAATATTAATGTACAGATCTAGAGTCATGATGGGAACATTCTTTCCAAGAAAAGCCAAATCATTGTGGCATTAGTGATTTTCATCGCCTCGCAAACAACAGCCAGCTAACTAATGAAATTTGATTTTCAGGTATATTTATCCATGCATTGACTGGACTTAAGAGAGGTTAGTTCAAACAGCTAGAGGACAAATGACAGAAGAAATATCAGCAAACCCGGACACAGAGCTCACTACCATTAACAGCAAGGAGTAAATAAAATCCCATAAGCGAAAAGTAGAAGCAAAACATCTGTATTTGTTACACTCTCCTCCTTGTTTTCCTTGCATTTTGAGGCTTTTCATGCACTACTACACATTATAGAAATACACAGGTAAAGGACCATAACTGTCACTTTTAAAAGCTGAAGAAGTGAAGCCATGCCATCTTCTAGCACATTTAAATCACTACTAGTTCATGTTAACATGCAAAGATCAAAACAGAGCTCTCAAACCACAGCCTGCTCATACACTGCTTTTCAAAGAACTAGTTGGCCTTGTCAAAACAGTAATTTTACAGTCTAGCAGGAAGAAAATAATGACGTTTGTAGAATGCCAATTGGCATTTCATTTGCAGAATGTCATACACCATCCAGATGAGCTCATGACACCTTAAGTAGCATTTTTCATATTTAAATCACTGCATTAAGCGCTGCCAGTCAAAAGAGTTATTAGAATTACTCTAGGCAAATATTATCAGAACCACTTTCATATCCACCTACCAAAGTTACCACACCTTAAGTCTGACAACTGAGACACTTCTGGGATATCATGTCATACTCCAGAAAATAGAAGTCAGAAAAAAGGTTCTGACAACTCATTACTGCTTTCAGCTACATGATAAATGAAGCCTGCAAGGCACAGGTCTCAATTCATCTTCTTCATAATCACTCCAGTTTTAGCCTCCTGAAAACCTAACAACTAACCTAATTAGTAACATCTCAACACTTGATGGGACTTACAAAATATTCCAGTAGTATCTCATTCGCCAGTCATCAATTGGATCTCCTGGATTTTACTTGTGTCTTTAAGCAAGTAAACTTTAAAACCTCTAAAACTTTTGTGAGAAAATAATTGCATCATGTAATTCAAAATTAGATACATTTATATCTTAGTCCAAATCCCAGAATTTTAGAAAAAATGCACTCATGGAAAAACTGACTCTCATGGAAAGTTAACACTCACGACATTATGATCAGTCAAGGACTGGGGGATCTGTGATTTAGAGGAAAAATTTAAGTTTAGAAAGTTAATTAAAACACTAATTAAAGAAATGCTCCTAAAAGAACATGCAACTAGTCCATATGGATAGTCCACTGGATAAAATGCTTAGCTCCAGTATAAGCTGGTACCATCAAAAGCTTCAAAAATATATTAAAATTGTTCCAAGAAAGAAAAGGAAAACTTGAAAAAGTCTAGCTGCTGTCTGGCTGCTCTGTACTTGTTTCTTAGCTAACAACATTTGGTCATTAAAAACCAATGTCCTGAAGTCCCCCAAGTAACTAATGTTTAAGGCTTGAACAGTATTTAAATACACCAAACACCCCCAAATCCATCCTTGTGTTTAAGTACAGCTCAGTGAGATTTATGGTACCTTATTTAGCCCTGACAGCACTTGCATTGTGCCCAAGTAGTTGGCAGAAATCAAACGAAGTCAGAACTCAGTAGCTGACATTTGAATAACAAAGCTGACACTCTGTGCAGCGAATCATCCGAGTCCACTATTTTAATGATTTTATTTTTTTTTTAAATACAAACGAAGCAATGCTTGCAATTCAACATCTCTTACCTCAAGCAAGGCTGCTGCAGGATCCCCCTGCAAGCTCTTGGCCAGTTTATCAACCTCATCCAGCAGGAACACGGGGTTGTTGACCCCCACAGTCTTGAGGCCGTTGATGATCCTGCCGGGCATGCTGCCCACGTAGGTGCGCCTGGGGAGAAACCAGGGGGAAACAGGGCTGAGCTGGGCAACAGGGCAGAGACAGCACAGGAAACAAAACCCAAAGGAAAATACCAGAGCAACAAGCAGTATTGTACCAACTCCTGCTTTTTTTGCAAAACTTTTTGGAACCAGTTGATAAAAATACGCGATATACAACTGAACTAATACAGGCAATTGTAGCAGCAGATGAAAGTTTGAGTTCCACGGGGCACTAGTTGGTCTGGAAAGATAACAATGTGCATTAAAGTATATCCAAACTTTATGGCTTGCAAGCATTTTGCATGTTCCAGTACAGGCATCCTTGTACCAGAGGAACAAGCCAGAGCAGATTTGGGAACCTCACTATTACTAGCATTTTAATAATTACAATACTGGGATTTTATCACCACAACAGAGTTCAAACAGCACGTTACAAATCAGGGCAAAATTCCAATTATGCTGAATTGTCAGTGTCCCCTGAATATAAAGCATGCTTTAATAAATACTCAGCGAAAATAACTGTATTTACTATGTCATTTCAATATGAAAAGTTAAACAGTGCAATTTAACAAAAAATTACGAGTTTGAATTTATTCAGCAAAATCAGTAAAAACTTTTTTCCACAACACACATAGAGAGCAACTACATTTTATGTGCATACATCCCCTGCATGCTGCATTTATCACAGCCTTTCCTGCTTGTGCCATAACCACTCCAAATACTATAACTAAGAGTATGAAATTCTGGTCACTCAAGAAGAAAGAGGTACATTAAGTGCTGAATAACTGGATCTGTCTCATGACCCTCACAGAGCAGATAAGCAGAACAGGCCTGCTTTGCCATATGATCTGCTTTACTACAGTCCAAAATAAACAGGATGACATTTACAAAGATGAAACCAAAAATACCATGGGAGTAATTTCAAAAGATACCAGAGACAAGTTTAAATATTAAAAAAATCCCAAACAAAACCAGAACCCAAACCACACAACAATGGTCTTAGTTCCATGTAACATTTAACCACTGAGTAAACAAACTGCAGTTACGGTATTTAATTCTAGATCTGAGCAAAAATAAAAGTTTTTAAGACCTTCTAAATATCCAGTAATGCAAGAGAAATTCAGTTTGCCTCTTACCACCTTCATGAGGCAGCTGCTAAAGACTGAAGTAGCCAGTATGCAATGGTTTAGCACTTTTGTGTAGAGTCTTACTCTGCAGCAAGGGAGTGGACTCCTCTCACTGAGGATTGCTCTGTGTGACAGGTATTACACATCAAGACTCTGCAGGGGGGAGCTATTACACCACCTCCTCCTCCATCTGCACATGGACAACCTTGCCAAAAGAATGGAAGATTCTATAAAACGCAATCAGAAAATTACTGGACTGGAGCAAAGCTGAAGTTCACAGAAATAATCATTACCAGTGCAATCAAATTAATCATTCTAGCAATTTGGGCATTTCTTTGGGGTTTTGGGTTTTTTTCCTTGTTATGAGGTGGTTTTTTTTGGTTTTGGGTTTTGTTTGATGGTGGTGGTTTTGTTCTTGTCTGGGCTGTTTTTAACAGAAGGTGATCACTGCACTAGAGAATAATTTTATAAGCTTGAGAGCCAATGCAGCCCAACTGTTTCTAATATTCTGATTATACCAGTAATAATTAGGTAAGCATTAAACCTTCTTCTTTCCTGCTTGGTACATTGTTCTCAAGTGCATTGAAGACATTACACCTTTTTAATGCATGTTTGTGTTTTTATAGACATGAAGTTCTACCTGATCCTTTTAAATTCTATGAAATCTTGAGCTATCCATGTCTCATCTAGTTTTAAGAAACAGATTTGGTTTACAAATGAAGGCAAACAGGTGTTAACAGTCTAAATCTATGACACATCTTCATTTATTAGAGATGGACCAATACCTATTTTATTATACTATTAAACAAAGACTGAAAATCTCCAAGGTTATTATGGAACACATCTCAACAAAAGAGTCCTTGGTAAAACAGGCCCTGCAGGTATTTACATATAAACCCAAAAGAATATATTAAAATTACAAGCATATATGGCCATTTATGTGTCTGGACATCAACCTTTGCCTTGTAACTTGTGAAACTGAATACTGCAGTTTGTGAACACCAGCCACGGAATGTAATGTTATTTTTTATTTCACTGCTTTTTCTAGGGTTGAAAAGAGAAGAAACAATATTCCAAATGACTACTTTTGATGATATAACATAGCTTGGCTCAGTTTTTGATGCAGTTTCTTTCCATGCATCAAACCTAGAAGGACAGTCAGCTGTTCCCCACTGAAAACAGGAAGTACAGACCAAGTTTCCTGGTTATCTCACTTCCGTAGCAACACTTGGAAAAACCCCTTAAGAGCTGATGCCACAGAAGTTCTGTAATTTAGTACTCTTTTTATTTATTTTTAAAATCAGTGAAAAGTTAAACAAAACACTAGAATTGCACAGCATATCATTAGGAACTATATAACCTAGAAAATGCAAGAAAACCAGGTGGGAACTGTAACCTTCTTGGTTCTCCCAGTATAAACTGGGAATGTATACAAACTGGAACTCTTAGAGCAGTGGTACCATTATTGATAGAAACATGACTCACTTTCTTCATGCTGATCTACAGACAAATAGTTTTAAATGATTTTTAACTGCAGATAGAAAAGGATAACAGAGTTAGTGCCATCAGAAGAAAGAGCTTCACAAAAAGGTGAGAAAGAGCTTCACATTTACCTCACCAGCATCACTATAAATAAATGGCACAATTACACCTTTCCTTCTCGAAAACAGAAAACCACACACACAACAGATAAGCTCATATAGTTCCTGTATAACACAAAATATCAGTATTGAGGAGACTTTAAATACAGTGAGCTTCTTGCAAAAAAAGTTCTAAGTCATTCTTCAGGGTGGTTTGTTTTCTTTTTGTTGTTTTTTTAATACAAGTAAACAACAAATATAAACCAGAAAAATTTAACATATGGTATAGATGGGTGGTAAATGCAAACAACAGCTGAAAAATGTCTCATAAAACAGTTCTGGTTTTGTACCAAGATGATGATTTCATTTTGGGAATGCAGAACAGTAGTTGCTGTTCTTCCCCCAATCAAAAGAGAAGTCACTAACCCCAGCTGCAGGCACGTGATCCACACTCAAATGGCAAAACCTGGGCTTTTCCAATTGCCCTATTTCCACCTCAGGGCAGCAGCACAGTGACTGAACACACAGACCCCACCCCACTGCTCTCTAAAACATCTGATTTTGGCTTCTGAATCTCTCAGTCTGCACCTTTCTCTTTCAACAGTACTGAGCAGCCCAAGTAAATGCTATTTCAGGCACTATTGGCTTGGAAGTCAAACTGAAACACAGTTCCTTTTTAATGTTCTAGTACATTTAGTACATGTTTTTCAATGTAGGTACACACAGTATCATTCTGCAAGGGTAATGGAATCCTGAACTTAAGCCCCAAAGCCTAATAAGGAGCTTTTAGGAGAAAAAGAATGTCTCCTAACATGTCATATTAGAAAATCAGCCTACCAAACAGTAAAACTCAGAACATGGCAGCCTATGTCTCAGAATACAACAGCCTATGTCTCCTCCACTTTTAGGACACCTCTGTAATTCCTCTCTCCAACTGCCACCAGATGCAAATATGGATTCACTTGACTGGGAATAACTTGAACGATTAATTCATGCAAAAGGACATTACAGAGGTCTACAGAAAAGCTGCACTTCTTATCTGATTAAATATTATTCTGAGAAGCAGAAAAAAAAAGAATTTAAAAACCAGTATGCAACAGCTGATTTTGATTTTAACTACAAAAAAACTTGAAAAAGCAGTGGGTTACAAGGGATTCCTGGTACCAACTGCTCTAAAGTTTGTTTTTAAACTATACACTTGTTTGTTGAAGAGTAACTTGACAATATTCCTGCTAATTCTAGATTATATTTTCCTTTGCTGGTGAAAAATAAACTCTCCTATCAACTACTTTCCATTGTCTAATTTCAAGTAAATTTTTAATATGAAATTTATACTGGTTAGCCTCTAACATGCATTAATAATTTAATAATGCCCTCAAAAATGTGACAGCCACAAACACCTGAAGTTAAAAGTTTTTTTTAAAGGCTCTATCACGTGACTCTACCTGCCTTTATTCTTTATTAGGTCGAAGCACAAGATAGAAAGTTTGACTTTTGTTTATAATGTCAAGTTCAAGACGTGGTTTCCCTGTTACAAAGGCTTCAGTCCTGCTCTGCCCTGGAAAAGTTCCTCCTGTCCCTAACGCTGAGTTTCCCACAGCCTCTAGTGGCTTCGGCTGGAATAGCAACGTGTTGTTGAATGAAATTTTAAGTTGTTTTTAGGAGCAGTACCATAAGTAATCTGAAACATCAGAATTCTTACTTAGCAAACAGCGATTAACGATAGTTTATGAGTTACAGGAATAGTGAAAGAGGAGGACAGAGTTTGGCTCTTTTTGCACCACTGTGGAAGCAGTGGGTCAGAAGGCCAGCCCAGACTTGCACACCTGTACAGCTCCACAGTGCTGCCAGCCAGGAAAAGGGTTAAAACAACCGTGTCACAAACCCCAGGGGGCTGCTGGGTACACTGGCCAAACCTACACTAAGAAAAAACCCTACACATGATTCCTTCAAGCTACAAACACCAGGAAATGTCAAACACTCTGGAAAACAAAACTCCTGCATGTCTGCCACAGGAGATGCACAGGAATAAACATATGTTGCACCAAGGGTGCTGAACTAAAGGCCTACGAAACAACTCTGAATTTTCAAGTTCTCTTCAAGTACAAATTCACTGTTTTCTCACTTTTTCCTCTTTCATACTCTGTCTAAGAAGCAGTCAATAGTGTACTGTACCGTCGGTTCCAACCAGTACATTACATCCCAGATTCCTACAAGTTTATGCAGATGTTCAGCACAAGATTTCCTGCATTCCTTCCAGTTGGGACCGTGAGCTTCCACACCCTAATGAATTCACACATGTAACCAGCTTACACAGTCAGAAGTCTGAAGTCTGACATCACAAAATGTACTTTTATTGCAATTAGGAAAGGAGGAAGTAGTTACCTGTGGCCTCGAATATCAGACTGATCACAGACTCCTCCTAAAGCAATTCTGTGGAATTCTCGACCCAATGTCTTTGCAATTGATCTTCCAACACTAGTTTTACCAACTCCTGGGGGCCCCACAAAACAAAGAATGGGTCCTTTGAGGTTGTTTTTAAGCTGTCTGACAGCTAAATACTCCAAAACTCTCTTCTTCAGCTTCTCCATAGCATAATGATCATTATCCAAAACTATTCGAGCTGCACGGATTTCAAGGCGATCTATCATTGAAAACAGAAGAGAGATCAGCACATTTGCCTTTAAAAATGGAATTGGTTTTCTACTCTTTCCTCACTCTCCATTTCTCCATACTGTTCCTGTATTAATAGTATCACCCTCACAACTTTTGAAAACTGGTACAAAGCGGACATGATACTCAATTTTTCTATTGCACCTCAAGTTGTAATTATTAAAATTAACTACAATTGTGTATTTTCACACTTTTGTTCCTTACCAAACTTGCTTAAGAAATACCAGAACCTTTTTCAGGAAGATTAATGCTAGAGAAACATCCAAAAATTTTTTTGTCTGACATACAAAGAATAATTGGATGCTCATTCCTTCATTATTTTTGATGCATGCTAGCACCAACTTTAAGTAATAACCCCTTCATTTTTCTGTGAAACTACTCCTAATACTTCTTAAATTCATATTCTGAGATGTACAGTTGTGCTACACAACCTATTCAGTATAGAGATCTCACAGAACTCTAAAGGTCCACCTGGCTTAAAGTAACACATTAATAATGTTTTTACAAGGCAGAACTAAGTACACATGTTTACATGATGGTTACTCATCCTAAAATGTCTGTGCAAGAGACAATCACCAAAACCAGAAGGGTTTACCTTTTGTACTCTTGTTCCATGGCAATTCTACCATCAGTTCCAAGTAATTTCTTGTCAAAGCATACTCTGGCATTGACTGAGGCATCTTCTTCAACCTGGAAATATAAGCACTGAATTCATGAGGCCAACCAGGAATTAACTGTAGGGTAAAACTGTCCTGCACCACAGGACAGCTACTGAGCAAACTTGAGGTTTAAAAATCATTTTGAAAATACAACCAACACAAACACATATCAACTGGAAAAGGTTTGAAGGATTTGTTTTAAAATATAAAATAAGAGAAGAAACCGCTATTTTTACCTTTTTATTTCCTTCAGACAAACTTTAAGAGCTTGTTCCGACATACTGGATGTTCTAATCTTTTTTTCTAGCATGACAACATCATCATGATCTTCTTCTTCCTCCTCATCCTCTGTAGTGTTTGCAACATGACTGATTCTTCTATTAGGACGAATAGCTACCACCTAAGAAATGGAGAACAGAGCCAGAGAACAGCATCAGGTCTTGTTTTTTAAATAAGGTGTGTACTTTGGCTTTGAATGGAAACCATGATAAGAACATATGAGGTGCACAGAAAAACTCAAGATTTCAATTCCATAAATAACTTCACAAAGTGTTATTGGTACACCTTAAGAAAAGTTAAGAGTTCTTACTTTACTGTAAGTATTCCCTAAGTGCATTTATCATGTACCCTAAACTAGCAAACGACAGAAGACAAGAACAAAACTGAAAGGAGCTCTCTGGGATTTTTCAAGCACTGCAACCCATCATATTAGGCAAAATAAACCTAATCTCTACAAAATGGGTAAGTTTTCTCTCCTACCCATTTTCATTTCTCAATTACTTCCCATTCACTAAACTGCATAAGTGCAGTTAGTTGCAGGAAAAGTGCAAGCTGCCCTAACTTACCAACACACATCTTACAATGCACATTCTTAACCCATATTTCAAAAGCTACCATTCATCTGCAATGTTCCAAGGAAAAGATACACCTTTTCTGCACAGGCCAAAACTCAATGTGTGCACACCATGCAAGTAAACTGGGCATCAGACACCTCTTCAAAGGAATCTGAGCACTTATTCAATGTCAGAAAGTGCTCAGAATAAATAAAATAAAGATTAAAATAAATAAACAAATAAAATAAAGCCTAGGCAGTTTTAAACAAATATTTTCTCTTTTAGGTATCTAAACAGCCAAAGATGCCAGCTGGGTGTTTTCTGCCCCTCCAGACTTACCATCAAATATTATGGCTATACATTACAATTTTACACAATTAAAATCATGCACATTCATTAGCCTGCTCAAAAAGTGTATCTTTTTACTTATTTAGGATGCTTAAGTATTCCAGATTTAAAGGTCCATACCCTTTTATCATCATCCTGTTTGGGCTTTCTTGTTTTTTGAAGCAGCTTCAGGCCTTCAATCTGTCTAACAAGCAATGGTATCGTCATCTTGAACCGCTCCTCCAGCCTAACAGCATCTAAAATCTAAGAGCAAGAGCTGTAAGTAACCAAGGTCACACTGATGGATCATCAGTCTGGGGGAAGGGAACGTGGAGAACATGGATAGTACTGTTACTCTCTTTTCACCAGTTATAGAATAGATGGATTAGGAAAAAAGGTAGCAAGAAAAGCAAAGAGAATACTGCACACAAGGTCTGCCCTCGAGGGTCTGGATGCCTAAGCTGCAAGCACTCCAAACTAGGAAAAAAGTCTTTTATCCTGTCTGTTTTAAGCACCTTAATATTTGAGATGCATTTGCTGTGGCAAGCATCTATCAACATTCTATTTTTCAATTACTGAGCCTCAGGGAAGAGCTAGCCCTCTAAGAAAGTTAAATGATTTCCTTGGTTAACCCAGGAAAAAAGTCCTCTTATGCCTTAAGATGTTTTTTTTATGACAGATTTTTGTGTTTATTTTGTTAAGTCTTTTTAAAATTTTATACATTCCATTTTCATGTTTAATTAAGTTAATATGTGGAAATGGGTAGAATTCTGCTCCTCTGTATTTCCACAACTTCCACTGGCTGCTCTTTTCTTTAGAACTTTTAATAAAAATAAAAAGGGACACACTAAATGTAATAACTAATGTTCCTTCCACCAGCAGGATATTCAGCTATAGTACACACCTTCCTTCAAATCACTGTATTAAGTGCTATTTGTGGTGCTTTGAAAGAATCTAACTTACACTTTCAATTCCAGGTGCAGCATTAGTGACAAAAGAAAAGGAACAACAAAACTTATAAACACAGCAGACAAATACAGAAATCAGACTAGTAAGAATCAAGTCATAAGGATCGTTTTTCCATAAAGTTACTTTGAGAAACCCAGACCCTAAGAATGTTTTCAAAAAGATTTAAAAAATTAACTCTCAAGTTGTTAGCATGATCTGCCAACTGTGATAAAAAGCAAGGTTTCAACACAATATGAAAAAAGATTTATCATCTTTACCATGGGAAAGGCAAGTCCATGCTGGATTTATTGTTTAATAAAACTAAGCATTTCCAAGGCTAACTAGATTAATTTACTTATTAGGTGAGTTCTGGCACATACATATATTAACACTTTAAACAACAGTTAACTTTTTACAAGCATTCCTGCTCAGCTGTAACACAAATACCTGCTGGCACAACCTTATCAGTGCAGAGTCTCAAGTGTGACCAATTCCAAAATTATCTAAAACTGACTGACTGTAAAAAAAGACAGCAAACCCCTAAATCCCCTTAGAAAAGTTTCTGAACACGACACCTGAAGCTTCTCTTGGTTGGATGTCCTGATGATAGAAGTCAGGATATCTGGCAAAGCTTCTCGAGGCAGATTGTCCAGAAGACGTCTCAGCTTTGCGACCGCAGGCACTGACATGTCCAGCATCTCAACCAGCTGTAAGAAACACACCATCAGTAACATCAATATTTTATTTTTGAATTATCTAAGTGAGTATCTGACCTAAACAGGATTGTATCTTTCAGGGTGAAGCTTGTCCAGGGGGTTTGCCAAAAAGCAACCAAAATAAATTCACAAGAAGTTCAGAGAGGAGGCACTAAATCGGCAAAGGGCATCAAGACTTTGGTATTTCGCCTTGTTTGAGAAGTTCAAAAATATCATTGCAGCACTTTTTTTCAATACCTACATCTCTTATTTCCCACACACACCCTAATTAAAAACTTCTTCAGTTAACACTATGATGACCCTTCTTCTATACATCCTTTAAACTCAAATTCATTATATCTAGTTTATATATGCATCTGTTTATAATCAAGGCTTTAGAGGGGCTTTTTCCCTTTAATAATTAAAAAAAATCCATTGTATATATTTTCATATACGTATAAAAGTCCAGAAAACTTAATCAAAGGTATTCCTTTTACTTGATTGTATTTATAGTATTGCTATATATGAAACACTAACATATCATAGCACTAACATATGCAGTTAAACTCATCCTGCATTGAGCTATATAGACACCCCAGAACTCGACACAGAAACCTCAACCTATAACAAAAACATTTGTTTCGTAGCAGAAATACTGAAACTTTACTAGTCTCTGAGAAATATAAGAAGTAGAGAAACAGAAGGACAGATAGGAAACAAATAAAGAGCCCAAATATAAGCATAAATAATATTACAACATATTACCTGCACTGCATACTTGTAGAATTGTTCTGACAACTCTCCAAGCTCCTCCTCAGATTTATGCTGATTAGTAAACTGCTCAAGTCGATCCAACTGCTCCACTTCAGCAACAGGATAAGGCTTCTCCTTGAGCAGCTGCAGGATCTGGAATCGGCAGAGGCCCGTAACCAGCAAGGTATAATGTGGCTTGGGCCAGTTGCTACCAACCACCTGAACTGCCAAGGCAGCAGTGCCAATCCTAAAAACAGATCAAATCCTCGGATTATTAGTCACCTTCCACAGAACATTTTGCGTGCCTCCTTAACAGCTACAGGTTCCAAGACCCTTTTGGGTCATGGTTCCTTATCACGAAAGGCAACCAAGCTACACAACTTCGTTTGTAACAGAGCTTACAAAACCAAACCCTAAAACCTGAAAATGAATGAATTAACTGAAAAACTAAGATAATGTAATAATAGTCACAGAGTTTAGAAACCTGTGTAACTTTTTCATAAATAATGGATCTCGGTGTGGACAGGTATGCTGACATTTCTGCCTAAATGACAGGCATTGGCAAACTAAGTCACACTTCTTCAGTGAAACTGCCGGCCTTATACTCAACAACCGTTTTAGATCGCTGCAGATCTCTTTAAGCAGGCTTAAAACAGAAGATTTTTGTCTTGCAAAACCTTACTAAGTCCACTGATACGATCAAGTTCGCAGAGTAAGGGTTACGGCATGTAAGTTTAACTTACACTTTACCCCACAGAAATACAATTCGTTTTCATTTTATGCGAACTAGGCTACTATCCGTGTTTCATACTAGGTGAAAAATGCCATGGTTAACAGCTGCGACAGCCCTGCAGCTACGGGCCTGCGTTTTCTGGCCTTATTTTCCTCTTCTACTTTACTCTCCTTTTCCAAACTTTCCTTCCGGAGGCCTCCCAGTCCGTCCCCGACAGCTCGCAGGCCGGGCCGGTGCAGGGACAAGGTCTCCCCTAGGGGAGAAGCCTTTGCCGCAGGGCGGCGGAGCGGGACGGCCCCGCGGGGTGAGCCACGGCCGGGGAGGCCGCGAGGGACGGAGGGAGGGGGAGAACCGGGCCGGGCCGCACCTGTGCAGGGAGGGCAGGTCATCGCAGTCGGAGGTGGGGTCGCTGGTGTTGGGGATGACGCCGATGATGGTGCTCCGCAGCGAGGTGCCCTTCAGCAGCCGGCTGCGCACCAGCTGCATGTTGCGCGGGGAGTCCACGCTGGTGCGCATGGTGGAGCCGGGCAGCAGGACGCCCTCGTGGGTCAGGAGCAGCGGCAGCCGCGTGGGGATCTGGATGGCGCTGCCCGCCGCCATGGCCACCCGCGACCCCGCACAGCCGCCCGCGGCCCGTCACCGCCGCCCCGGCCGCCCCCGCCCCTCAGCCCGGCCCCGCCCCGTACGGGCGCCCGGCAGGGCCCGGCCGCGCTCGGCCCTCCCCGCTCGGTCCCCTGGCGGGAGCGGCGGCCGGGCCGCTCTGTCCCCAGGCCCTGCCCTGACTCGGGAACGGGGTCGCTCCTGGTGCTCCCGACATCGCCCCCGGAGCCTTTCGTGTCCTTCCTCCTTTCAGACGCCGAGCTCGGAGCGTTTCCCCTCCGTTCCCCGAGGGCCGCTCGGCCGCCGGCAGGTGTCAGTCTGACTCTGGCGATGGATGCGGGCTCTGAGCTGTGAGCAGCGCTAAAGGCGCCGACACTGGAGAGGGAGCCTGTAGCAAATCTTACTGTTTGTTAAATGGGGCGGTTACGAAGTGAAATCCATTTTTTTGTTTTTGGTTTTTACACAAATCTGCTCTCCTGCGTACGTGCTACTGGCCAAAGAGCTCAGGGATTTGGTTTCACAGAATCACGGAATTGCCGGGGCTGGAAGGGACTTCTGGAGATCATTCAGTCCAACCCTCTGCCAAGCAGGGTCACCTGGAGCAGGTGACACAGGAACGGGGGGAGGTGGGTTTGGAATGTGTCCAGAGAGGAGATTCCACACGCTCCCTGGGCACCTGTTCAGCGCTCTGCCACCTTCAACGAAAAGCAGCTCTCCCTCCTGCTGGGGAAGCACAGGTGAGAACAGGTGAGCACAGGTGCTCTTCCAAGTGCACTGGGCAGGCCCAAAGTGGAAGGAGATGCAGGACACGACCTCCTCTCCCCACACAGTGGGATTTCCAATGCAATATTGATGTTCACCGGGGGCACAGCTCACCAGGACCACTGACATTCCTTTGCCCAGCCAAAACAGCCTGGCCAGGTGAAAGGGCTCCAAACACCAAGGCCCTGGGGAGTTCAGATAAGCAAGTGAGTTTTAGAAACTTTCCTTCTTTTTTTTTTTTCTCCTATTGGTGAAATGAGGTGCAATATCAAAATTGCATAATGCAGTGAACCACGTTAGCCAATGTCTTGTTAATCACTGACTTGCACGATTCATGTTGAACAAAGGTAATCCTGTACAGAGGGGAAATCACAGGAGAGACACACTGACAATTTGAAATGCAAAAGGATAGCTGCAGTTAAAACCTTGCTGAATCATGTGGTTTATTAACACTTTGATCTGTTGGCCTACAGGAAAATGCAGTATGGAAATGCCAACAATATATTTAAATGCAAGAAGTTATTACAGCTGAGAAAAATATCTTCTAAATCAAGTACCTTAGTTACCTTAGAAAAAAGCTGGAATTTAATATACTAGTCAACATGACATTTAGAAAACATTAATATAAAAGGGCATGTAACACATGGAATATGGAAAGCGGTTTGTGCATTTCCGGATATTAAATATAATTACTCTGTTAACATATGTTCAACAGTCACAGATGTTTAGGCATCTCTAACTATATTTGTTTGGAATGTGAACACAAACCAAACCTAAAGGTTAAATATTTGCTAGTCACATATATTGATGAATTTTCTCAGTTTGAGTATTTTAATTAAAAAAAATCTACCAATCTCATCATGCTTATTCTCCAGACTACCATTTTTCCTTCCCTCAGAGATGACTAGTCCCTGTGGTCATTAAAAATAGTTTCTTAATTCATTCTGGAGCTGTATCAAAATCTCAGTGATTGCCTTAAGATTCCTTTCAATTTCTGCTGAACAGCTCTTAATACCCAAAGCTATATTTTACTGCATGTACTAAGTGTGCAGTGTGATAGGGTCACATCCTCATTGTGATGTCTAGATAATACTTGATCCCCCAAATTGTCTTTTAATTAAATACAAACAGATCAGATTTGAGCAACAACCTTTCAGAATGTTTTTGTGGACTAGCAGAACATTTCATGATACATGGAAAAACAGGCTAGCAATGAGTATTAAGATGTGCCTCCAACTCAGAGATTTTAAGATCAAAAGGGACAACTGCCACACTGTCTGACCTCCTCTAACACTCACCAGCAAATTCGGCATCAAGCCCACAGTTTCTGACTTAACACTGTGCCTCAAAGGTATTCAGCCTTGGCTTGAGGAGTGACTAAACAGAGAATCCACCCTCTCTATGGGTATGCTGTTCAGGGGTTGATTACATGGTTAAAATTTGCACTTTGTTTATTTGTAATCTCAGTTTCCAGAGACTGGCTTCTGTTGTACCTAACACTTTGAATAGTTGCCTACTACGATAACAATCATTCCTCAGTGAATACAACCAATACTCCATGATCGAGTCACAGCTTAACTTTGAGCTTCTCTGATAGCCATATTTCTCATTTTTTAAATGAAATCTCATCCTCATCTCAAAATGTGGGTAGCCTATAACTAGTATTCCAGTACTCATCTTGCAAATGTCATACAAAGGGGGCAATACTCTCTTTGTGTTTCCATTTAATATTCCCTTAGGAAATCAAGTCTGAGGTTTGTTTGGGTATAGCACCACTTCACACAGCTCAAGTACTAATGCCTTGGTCTGGGTGTAGCAGATGTATTTTATACCTGTAAATAACTCATAACTTTTTCATCTCCCCCCACATCTACTCAATTTTTTCCATTTACAGAAACATGAGAGAGTTCAGCATTTCCAAAACCAAGACCAAGGCACCTCGCAATGAAGACTTGAGGTTAATTTGTCTGAGATTAAAACTCAATTCTCTTCTCCTAAAATGAGCATACACTTCTCTTCTGCCCCCTCACTGGCACTCTCTAAAGTTCTCAAGCCCTCTGCAGCTATTTTATAGAACAAGACACTCTGTTATCAGAATTTCTCTTTCTCATACTGCTTCTTTTTCATACTTACAGATTGTTTGATGCAATAGCGTTCTTTAGGAACTATTTTTCTCCAGTCTCAACTGCTATATCTGTAAATGAAACAGAAAAAGAAGTCTGCCCACTTTCTTTTCAAGTTCTCTCTCTAATGTGTGACAATTTGAGAGTTTCTCCTTAACAAACATGTTATCTGGCTCCCAGTCCAACAAAGCACTTTTGCTTAAAGGTGCTATGAAAAGATGTTTTGAATTGATTCAAGGTGTTGTATCTATACATCAGATAACATGAGACATCCAATGAGGAATATACAATATACAAGACCGTCAGCATTTTGCAATGCATGTGATGATCAAACACACATTTTAGAGTCATCTGAGATGAGAGATGATATGGATACGTTGTCAATCCCCTGAGCACAGGTGGACTACATAACTTGTCTGTTCATTAGATTATTTCCCTCAATAATATTTCCTCTACCCTAGATGCTGAACATACCCTGCTGCTTCCTACCATATTGGAGGGTGACATGAATACCTCAAAAAATTTTAAAGTACCATAACTAGGAAGGAATTTTATGTAAAGCTATTGAAAGGATGTCATAATATAACTGAACTGCATTTTAAAGTGCATGTATTTTAATGTCCACTCTTTCTACTCACTGTAAGGTTGAAATGGAAATTTAAAAACCTGGGGGTTAATGCAGACTTTGTATTACATATCCTTAATCATTCTTTCTTCACACAAAGAATCTGTTTCTTTTACACCCTGATTGATTAAAAGGCTCCCAGTTGGTTATGTAAGGACAGCACATGAAACACATGCCAGGAATTGCTGGCAGCACGTCACTGACTAACAGAGTGCGAGACCTTTCCCAAATTTCTGAAGCTGTGTGTAGGATTCTTTCACAGCAATTGTAAAATGCATTTTAGGAGTAAGTGCTAACAGACCTCACCAGAGCAGTTGAACTTGAAAACTTCATCTTTTATTCAAAAGTCTGAGCTCCAAGAAAGGGAGAGAAGGAGGAAGTACACAGAAAAAGAAATTCAAACTTACTGTTCAAATTTGAAACTTGAGCTAGAATAGCATAGAGCAGAGAGACTTCTTGCCTGTCTTGCCTAGCCAGACAGGATTTTCACAGCAGATGCATACATACCACAAAAATAATAAGGATTCAGAGAAGCTTCTGAAGGACAGGAAATATCCGTGGGAAATTAAAGAAATGCCATCAGTAGAGCTGTGCTGATAATGCTCAGATGAGGATACAGCTGAAGGAAGAGAATTTCACTCTACCTTAGTTTTGCTGCACACAGTGTCACACTACCTAGAATATATCTTTCTTCTCTCTTTAATCTGCATACTGCCAAATCAGCCATTTTAGGGAACTGCTAGTAAGAGATAAAAAAATGTTTCCTCAGTATAATGTAACTGAATGAAAGAGTTGAAAGGGCCACATTTGAGGCTCATATATCTTTGGTATGGTTTTGTAAGCTTAGCCCATTTTTTTTTTAACCTTAAAAATGGAAAAAATTTTTAACTAAGAGGAATAAACTTTCTCCTGAAACCAAGAAAATTGTCACCAAAGAAGAGAAATGTGGAAAATAATGGAATTACTGCCACAGCTTATTGAAGTAAATACTCCCCAAGTCAAACTCGATCATACTTGTTGTCAATACTTTAATGAAGCAACAGTTTGAAGCAGCTGCAGAATCACATTTTTATGTTCCTCTTACCAGAGGGAGCGTTTTCTTTCCCATAGTTCAAATGCAATTTGCTGACTGCCACCTAAAAATGGCATGCAAATGTTCTAGAGTAATTCTAGAGTTTACCCCGACAGAAAGTCCACACAGATTGTGGGACAGAGCCCAGAATTATTACACAGACATAACTGTAGTTAAATTTGGGGATGAATAAGAGTTTTGCCTTTGCTTCTTAGCAACTGAATAGACTGCCTGGTCTGGATTTAGTCACTCTTCTGTTTCCAAGAGTTTGTCAGAATATTAACTGCACACTGTAGGTCAATCAACCCAAGAATGTTTTCCTACCTGATCCTTTCCAAATCTGCAGGAAAATGATTCCCTACATGAAGCATGATCAAGTCTGCTTTCTGTTATTCAACCAAATTTTATCAACATTATTCAATCCTTTCCACACTGGTCATTCTT